CCCCCCTTCTCCTCCAATATTTCCCAGATTTCCTGCTGTCACTTCCGTTGTCATTTCCTTGTTTCTACATTTTTACTGTCATTCAAGGGAATTAAGTGGACTGGAGATGATAAATTTCAAGAATTTATCTGAATTGGTTCAAATGTCTCAAACTCAATTCTTCTCCTCAAAAGTTTATTTGATAACATGATTAAAACCAAAAATGTTTTAAGATTATTTTCTTATTACTTTTCCAACTTCACAAAATGTCTCCCAAATGAAAAACAAAGATTTAGCCGTTTTAGCTGTTAAATATTTTTTTCAATGCATACTTTCTATAGTTCTAAAATCTAGAAATACTTGAAAACAAAAAATAATCATTTCATTAAAGATCCCAATTAATTTAATTTTTTTTTTAAACTTTTACCATGAAAATAACCATGCTTTTTTCTAGACTTGGAATGCGGAATGCCTGCTGACATTGTCAACGGAAATCTAAGATTTGTAAATGGAACGCGGCAGTTTAAAAGTATTATCGAGTATTCATGTAATCCGGGATATCTCCTCGTGGGCCGGAATCAGCTGATGTGTGACGTAGATCAAAGATGGAATGGACCCCCACCCAGGTAAAACAAATAAAAAAATTTTGGTGTAAAAAAGAGCTTGAAAGTTCAAACTTAAGAAAATGGGAGTAGTTTTACTCTTTGCAATTGCCTGTGCCCAAAAATCTTTTAAAAAGAAAAGAATTACCATATGTTTAATATAAGATGTGAGCCTGTGTATTGTGAGGAACCTAAACCTATCAGATATGGCGGATTTTCTCTCTCAACAAACTCCACGCGGTTTGGAACCGTGGTTTCTTTCTACTGTACTAGTCCTAGGTAAGCTACCTATATAGAATCTGCAAAATCTTTATAATTGGTGCGATTTTTCAAAAGTCGAAGCATTTTTTGAAGTGCTTCTGTCTTCAAATAAAAACCACATGAAAATGAACAACAAAAAATATGTGATTTTCTAGTGTTTTTTTCTTGGTTTCAACAAAATATTTCTATATTTAATAAACAATTGATTTGTATTAAAGGTTTGAACTGGTTGGGCCGATGAAGATTACTTGTTTGAAGGACGGGAGCTACAACTCTGATCCTCCGTCCTGTGAACCTATCCAGGAGAAACTAGTCCCTGCTCCTCCTGTGCAACCTAGACCTTCTCCACCTGCACTAGACAATTCAGATCAAAACTCCCGTCCTAACTTTCCTCGTCGTGTTTATCCTAAAATAAAATTGGAAGAAGACACTACAAAACCGATCAGAAAATACAAAAAGAAGGTAAGTCTTATGTTGAAATAGTTTATTTAAACCAAAAATATTGTTCCAAACTGTTACACAATTTAATCTAAAAAACAAGACTGTTCAGTTATGGTGCTTCATAAGACATGTTTTACAGAACAGGCGCCAAATTCATACTGTCGTCGCATCAAAGCTGTTGTGAGCATTTACAACATATATACATAACAGTTTTTATATTGCACTGGCTTTCAGTTGCCATTTTTTACATTTCTCTCTGTTCATGTTGTTAATTATAATGTTCCTTGCTTAGGTTGATCCAGCACGTGATGAATTTGCCCCGGCACGTGATAAGTTTGTCCCGAAACGTGATGAGTTTGCCCCGGCACGTCAACCTGAAGATAACGAGATCCCCGACTCTTCTAACGTGCAAACAAGTGCTGCTGGAGCAAATTTACCGAATCCTAAAGAGGAAAATATAGGAAACAAAGCTTTAAATCTAGGTAGGATCATATGGGATCATAATAAATATGGGATCATAATGGGATTTTATAAAGGATCATTATGGGGATCATGAGATCATGTAAATTTTATATTGGATCATATATGAACATAATGTACAAGATCATATCGTTATTGAACTCTATAGTATGACAAACAATAATCCTTTATCATGGTATAAAAATTCTTGACTTACCAAAAAATTCTTTATTATGACAATTCTAAAAGATAATAAATATTAAAAAGTATTTTTTGTCAGAAAAATCATGGAAAATATTTTTGCAAGCTACTATGCTTTGCATAGGGCAATGCAAGCATGTAAAATTTCCCCATGGTTTAATTGAGCTTTAAATCTCCAGGGGAAAGTGGAAACGTGTATTAACTATTTGTTTATGGACCAAAATAACTGAGTTTAAAGAAGGGGGGGGGGGGAAGCTTTATAAATGAGGTCAAAAAGTTTTCATGATTTTCTTTCTATTTTAACAAATACAATTAAATTACAATCAACTTCTTACAATTTGACTTTTTAATTTGATTAATTATGATTGACATAAAAGGGAATTTTCTAGTAATTTTAAGTGATCCATTCAATCTAAAGAAGAACACCCTCGACTTTAATCCTTTATCTGATCAATAATGTTACAGATATCGTCGTTTGATTAGCTTGAAAACTAATGTGTGATATTTAGAAATTCCTCCATTGTGTCTGCAGCAGAAATCCGCAAGTCACTTTATAGAGAAAACACGACTGAACATTATTAATTTTAAATTAGAAAATTATTGATATCTCATGCATTCTTGATCAGAGGAATCTTTGGGGTTTCGTTTTGAATCGGATATGTCACTCTATAAAATGCAAGGACACTTAAAACGAGGGACATCATGAGCCTCCAAAATTTGATAGACAGACCGAGCCTCCGCCATGCAGTTAGAGCCTCCGCTATGCAGTAAACGAGCCACCGCTAGGCAGCACAGCTTCTTTAACTCTTGGTTTTTAAATGTAATATAGAATTTTAAAAAAAATTACATAGTTGTCCAAGAATTTTACCTAACATTAATTTTATTTATTGATTGTCATGATGTGTAACTTATATTGACTCATAAATAAGATTTATGTTTTACAATAAAACATTTCTACGCATTAAGAAGGCTATTTGGAAATTCATTTATTTTGTTTTAATCTTTGACTTAAGCAATACCTATTATGAGAAAATCTTTTAGATTCAGATTATTTGTTAATGTCAAATTTTTGATTATCTTTAATCGGATAAAAATTTCAAAAAAGTATCGCTTAAATCATAGATTATAAAATATCAAATAACATTACTTTTAGAATTTTTTCTCTAAATGTTTTCCTTTTTGCGTAAAAATGTTTCAAGTTATATAAACCACTCATAATTAGTCACTATTCATAATAATTGATTAAAACTTCTGATCTTTGATAAACTATTTATGCCAATTTTTTGAAAAAAAAATACAAAAAATTCTTTACTTCATGTAAAAACCAAGAGTTTTAAGGAAACTATTCTGTTTAGCGGAGGCTCGTTTACTGTATAGCGGAGGCTTGTTTACTGTATAGCGGAGGCTTGTTTACTGTATAGCGGAGGCTCGTTTACTGTATAGCGGAGGCGCTTACTGCATGGCGGATGCTCGATATGTCAAGCAAATCTGGGAGGCTCGTGTCTGCAAAGCGGAGGCTCATGGCGTCCGGGGGTTCCCTCCCTCCGTCTGCAGTCCCTATAAAGACTTGATTTTGACGTAGACGCTTGACTTGACTTCACAATTAACACTTATCTAAAGCACTCTCTGTTTAAAGACTTGCGAGGACTTCCCTATTTTTTATTAAATTTAACTAATTCTTAATTATTTGAAATTTTTAGGAGGGATAATTGCCCTTGGTGTTTTTGGTGGTTTTGTGTTCTTAGCAGCAATCATCACTACAATAGTTATTTTAATTCGAAGGTAAATTTATTTTCTTTCAAAAACTTTAATTATAACATAAGCATTTAATTTAAAGCTAAGATTTTTTAAGAAAGGCGCTGAGTTTTTGCCACAAGCTCAAATTTTCTAATGTCATATCTTTGCAGCCTGATGGAGAAAACCTTTAATATCTCTATATTATATTATTGGAACTAATAGATTTCACAGTTTAAAATATCTAAGGTCTACGACATAACAAAGAAATAGGAAATAGAAATAAAGTTTGTGGCAAGACTTAATTTCTTTCTGCATATAATAGTTTTTAATTTGTAACTAACCACTCGCCTTTAAAGGGAGAGTTCACGAAAAATGAAAGGGGGTGTAGGCTTAATGCGATAAAAAAGCGCTTTTGATCGCTACTAATCTTACTTCTATCTGTTGCGTCTATAAGGAGAAAATTGTTAAAGACGTCTCATACTGAATAACTTAGCGGCCATAGAAATTGAGAAAATTGCAACATACGGCTTAGAGCGTAAAAAATCAATTTAATTTCAAACAAATCATTCAGATATTACAACTTATAATAATCGATTATCTTTTGCCACATTTCTATATAGTTCATATTTTATAATATTTTTGAATTATTTGTTTGTTTCTCTGCTCGCTTGCGCAACTATCTAAGATTGCCGCACACCACTCACAATTTTCGAAATCCGTTAAAAACGTTCTCTAAAAAAAAAATATTATAAAATATAAACTATATACAAATGTGGCGAAAGATAATCGACTATAGGTTGTAATATCTAAATAATTTGTTTGAAATTAAATTGATTTTTTACGGTTTAAGTAGTATGTTGCAATTTTCTCAATTTGTATGGCCGCTAAGTTATTCGGTATGAGACGTATTTAACAATTTTCTCCTTATAGACGCAACAGATAGAAGTAAGATTAGTAGCGATCAAAAGCGCGAACACTCCCTTTAACATCTCTATATCTTAACAACCTGATATTGTAAACCTTTGATATTTTAAACTTGACTATTTGATCTGCTGAATTTAAATTATGTCTACTTCATCAGGTTGAAAATATATAAGAATGATTAACTAATAAATTATATTAATTTTACTTTGCTGCATGCTATCATTGTAACGATGAGGATTCATAATCGATTTTTTAAACTAGAATAGTTTTAAACTAAGAAAAATACCTTTATATAAATCAAACACTGCTTTTTTAAACAAACAAAGTTGTTTTTTTGACTTTTCAGATGAACATCCATTTAACATAAAAAACCTCTCATTGTTACAACTTACAAATCTTTTCTTGACTGTCCTTTTCCTGTTTTTTTTTGCATGAATAATGATAAAATTAGATTTTAATTAATTTAGATAAATAGATTATTAAACAGCCTTTTGGGTGTTATTTAAAGTTGTGTGCATGTATTAGCGGGTTAACTATAGGTTTCGATAATTCTTTTTTATTTCAAACATTGAAAATATTCTTGAATTTATTAAGTATATTAACAAGTAATACAATAGTTTATCTGAAATGAAATTAAGAATGAATACTCAAGATTTAATATGACTTTTTTAAAGTCAATTGTTGAAAACTTTTTAATTTAAAAATATTTCTGATTTGTTACATCACCATGCTATTTTAATTTTTTTGCAGCTAAATCTCAGTTCTTAATTTTCCCTTGCAAATTTTTTTCAAATATCATTTTCTCTAGTTTCGCTTTCTTCCCACCCTTTCTCTAATGTTCATTGCCAAATCCCCCCTCCCCCCCCCACGCAAAACTTTGTGAAACTCAGTATGTCTGGACCATATCATGATAATCTCAGTTACTATATGGTCCACAATTCAAAACAGTAAAATAATTTTAAAACTTTTAACACATAGAGCCCAACATAAAAGTTTAAACTAAAATGAAAACTAAATACTTTTTTGAGTGAAATTGGTTCGAAATGGAGGCTTGCTGGTTAATGAAAATACACATGAATTACCGTGCCCTCCCTCCTCCCATTTGACCAAGCTCTAATCTCAAATACTTAGTCCTTCAACGCTTCGTCTTCTACAGTCTTAGTTCCGACTAGAGTGAAAAAATTCTAAACAATGGATTATTTCTTGGAAATTATATTTTTCTTGTCTTCGTTTTCATTTCTTAAAGAACACCTCTCATCACTGCTTTATAGTCTAATTTAAATGCAATTATTTATTTTATTCATTCCATATTTGTATTTATAAGAATGTAGTTGGGCCATAATACTGTGAAAAAATTTTGAAAATTTTTAGTCCTTTTTTCTTTTACTGCACATTTTGTCGCTCACCGATCACCAGATCCTAGCTTTAATCTAACCAAACCATCACTTGAAGATTGTACAAGAAAGGGGGCAGCTACAGAATACCAGAACCAGCCCAAACCAATATGGCGAACGACGTAAGTAGATAAATGCCGTGTTCACCAACCACTGCCTTGCTTGATTAATTGATTGAGCAATAGCATTTTGACAGAAGATGCAATTACGGCTTTCACGGTCACAATTTCTATTTACTTTTTTGTAGGGGGGGGGGGGGGATTTTTTGAAATTTTTCCACTAATACCACATTCACAAGTTTTGAACTTTGGCAACCAACCTCAATGCTTCACAAGTTCACAGTTTCCAAACGTTTGGCACAATAATCACAATTCACAATTCAATATGCGCAACACTGATAAAAAGGACAATTTCAGTAAAAGATCTGCTCGACCCTCGCCCTCCTTCCAATCCAAGTTCTACACGTTGCTCGCCCTCCCCTTCCCTGACCAGCCCAGGTTGGCCCGCAGAGATCTCAACGCCGGGGCACAGTTCAGGGGGAGGGCAGGGGCCTTCTCATACCCTCCCTCCTCTCCTTCACTTCATATACCAAGGATAAGACAAGAACGCGCAAACTTGTGAGAAGTATGATTGCGGATTTTCAGGATTTTCCTGGAGATTTCAATACCCGATGTTGTTAACTAGTGCCAAAACTCTGATTCTAGTCAATTTTGCTATACACCTGTAAATACTCTTTTATTGTATTATGTACGGTTATTCAGTACACTGCTTTGTGTAGTGTATTGCAGTGCAACAGTCTACACTGTAAAGTAAAAAAAGAACTATACAAGGTAAACTGTAGATAAATACTAAGCAATGTTCTTAATATATTTTAATCTATATTTTTTTTATTTTTTGCATGCTTTTCTGGGATGGTTTGAAGATTTTAGTAGATATTAGATGTAGATAGATTTCAGATATAATTGGAATACACAATTTCATATGTTTGATATTTTGCATAACCAAGATCCGTTTCAATTTTTTTTTCAAGTCATTGAAATATCGTTTTCCGATCATAAGATTTGGGGCTTTTCTGAAGTTCTTTAGTTATAAGATTTTGGGTTAAAAATGGATCATTTTCTGTCCAATCTTAAAATATGATTGAATGTACACCATTTTCTATTTAAACATAACTGGTTGTAATATTTTCATACGCACCATCCTACGCGCCAATTACACAAATTCCTTGCACTCCCCCCCCCCTCCTCCCCCCATCCAACCTATTTAACGAATAAATCTATATAATTGGTTTTGATTAAATGTGAAACTCTCTCTCTCTCCTACTCTAGCTGTGGCCAAGAAGCGAATCCAGAATTTAATTTACTTTCACTTTCATGTAATGAATCTATTCTATCCACACTGATAATATCATAACGATGGTTTTCATTTCAAAACAAGAATTGATTTTAAAATATTCAAATCGATAACTAATTTTATTTCATTTGATGTTTTCTGTAATTTCACCTATACTTTTTTCAGTTGGTCAAATAAAGTTAAGCGTTTAGGGTTTTATGTTCCAAATTTTTAAAAAAAGAAAACACTTTTTAATCAATCATTTTTAATCAAAATTGCAAAGTTTTGTTGAATATAAGACCCCTGGGTGGCCTTTTCTCTGCACGTTCTGTATGCATGAAGTATTAAATTATGTAGAATAAGCCATTTTAAAAACGTTAAAAAAAGACATTTAAAAGCGCTATTTCTACGCAATTTTCTACCGTTAAAATCTCTCAGATCCCCAGGGGTGCATGACCTGCAGCTTCTGACCGGCGCAGCAGCCGCCGGTCCCTCCAAACCACACAATAAGTACTACAAGAAGGCGTGGCCAAGGTCCAGGTCCCAGGTAGAACAGCATGTGCATAATCACCCTCCTATCTGTAGGAAAGAGACGCCTGATCAGTCAACATTCCGGTCAACCAGTCTGGAGAGCGAGGTGGATCGCGAGCATAGCGAGATGGTGGTTAACAGCCACGCGCACAAGCATGAGCGTAAGCACCACCATCGGCACCATCACCATCACAAGCATAGGAGTCACAACGAATCTGACCGGCATGGTAGGTCCAGGTATTGATTGACCTCTATGTACGCCTGACTCACGACGCATGAATCCAACCAAGAAGTGCGTCAACTTATGCAGTGCCATGTTCAGGTCCTATTTTGATTTGAATACGCAAACGTGAAAAATATGAAAATGCTTCAGTGCCCAAGGGAAGGCACTAAAAGTGCCTCGAAGTGCCAAAAATGACGTTAACTAAAATTATTACAGTTCAATTCTCATTCCTTAAATACTCAACAGAAAAAGACTGTTAGACTTTTAAGAAATAATTGATGTGAAATAGTTAATAATTTGAAGAAAAAACACGTGATCAAGGTATACTACTTGTATGTTTATTGTTTATCTATTATACAAATTGTATAATTCTTGTGTTTTACTTTAATCTTAAACTTTTCCACCGAACTTTAAAAACTTGTTTAAGATAAAATTTAGTGTTTGTAAAATGTGAAGAAAAAAACTTTCCTTTGCTTTATTTTTTATGTCTTCCTTTCCCAGTTATGTAAATAAAGTTATGATATTTTTTTATAAAATATATTAATATGCAGGACAAAAAAGGAAAAATATAATTTTAGAGCAGTTTCACACATTAAAACATTACAAAAGTACAATGCTCTACAAAGACGACTTTTACTAAATTGTCCTACGGTTTAAAAGCCCTACAGTAGTGCAGCTTCAAAAATAACAGTAATTTACAAAATTATGTTATAATTAGAAATAGTTTTTATAACATGCAGTTACTCAATCATTTCAGATAAAAAACATGTACAGATGTTTTAGTCTTATAATAATTAATTTTTTATCATCAATTTAATGTTTTAAACATTACTTTAATCTATTTAAAATTATTTTAATTTATTTAAAATTAATTTAATTTGTTAATTGCTACACGATTCGCCTTTATGAAACCACATTTTATTAAAGTCTCATTCTGTAGTCTGTATAATGTATACTTCAGGGTTAACCACAGAGGATGAAACTATAAAGACGACATAAACCCATAAAATATGACGATCCAAGGTTAAATTAAATCTTCTGTCTTAAATGCTAGGAAACAGACCAGCATAAATTCTGTACAGTCGTCTCTGAAGTCTCATCCTATGTGGGTAACCCTGTATGTGTAAGAATTTTATCTATAATTACTGCGACTTTTAAAAATTGATTTATTCTCAAACTACTAATATTTAATTGTTAAAATAAGAACTTTTAAATGAGAAAACAAATCAGGTTGAATTTTGTTTTATTAATTACACTTTTTATTGCTTATGATAGTTTTTTATGTATAGTTTGTTAATAAATATCAAATCTTTTTTTCTCTACAATTTAGTAATGTTTTATATTTGTATTTGTAATGTTTTATATTTTTATTTGTAATGTTTTATATTTTTATTTGTAATGTTTTATATTTTTATCAAAGATCATCAATCATCATGTATGTTTAAAGTAGTACTCTCGGTTTGTCTGTCTTTTTGGATGTCATATAACTCATGTACATATTTAATTTTGATTTGGCAAACTTACTAGAACTGTGCAAATGTTTATAGACTGCAGTTTCAAAATTCCAAGTTGAGTTAAGGTACTGGGTTGACTTTTAGGGAAAACTCTCGGCAAGGCTGGGTTCCCAAGATTTTGTATTATACACAGGGGGATGATAGTTTCCTACCTGTTGCTCAGTTAGCTGTACTGTACACTTACAACTGTTTACTTATAATGATATGCTATAGGTTAGGCCGGAATCTCCTTATAATAAACAAATATCCAGTACGCTCTCGGTATAGTTCGTGGCCTATACAATAAGAAAAGGATTAGCGTATACATCATCAGTAAGGTTATAGTATATAGACTTATAGAGTCATGAATCATCACTTTATAAGTCTATACACTATAACCTCGTTGACTATACAAAATAATATAAAGACAAGGAATTTCCCGGAATTATAATAGCTAATAATTATTTTTGTACGACCATTCTGTTTAATGTTTTACAATTTCGATTGGATTTATTCGAATAACAGATAAATACAGGGTTATTAGTTATTACTAGTCATGTAAAAACTTTATAAATCGGAAAAAAAGAAAGAAATTTATAGATGCAGGGAACCAAGAATGTAAGAAAAAATTAATAAATTAATGGGCGAGGAAAATATAACAGTAATTATAATACCACAAAAAATATAAAGACCCAAAATATATACGAGAAAAATATAACCAACTGAACATATTAACATTTTGGACCAAATATATAACCAGTTTTTTACCAAATCTTCAACCATTTTCTCTCCTTCTATTCTGCATCAATTTTTTAAGTTGGTAATATTTTTGTCAGATATATTTTTAGACATTTTGTAATTTTGGTCATTATGTTATTGACGTCATATTTTCCCCGAACAGTCGTCTCTAGGTTCATCTTTTGTGGGTAACTCTGTAAATGAAGGCTTCTCGTCTTGAAAAAATGTCGTCTTATGGCCACAACATTTTTTTATCTATATGATTATGATAGGATCTTTCATGCTTCAATTCGTAGAAAAGAAATATGTACATACAGAGGGAGTCATAAAAGAGAAATTGGTGCCATTTTCAATTTACATTTTTGTGTGATTGAAAATTTTTAAAAAGATTTTTTAAACCTCCAGAAATAATTCAGCGAAGCTTTGTTTCTTCTTGGTCAAATCAAAACTAACGTAAATAAAAGATTTTTTAATATGAGTTATTTCTACAGTGAAACCCTTAATAACAAATACATCGGAAGAATTTATCAAATGTCGTCTTGACAATTTTTCAATGAGTTTTATACTATACTATATGTAAATTTCAGTAAATGTGAAAAAAGCCATGATCATGCGGGAACAGTTTTAAAGAGTTCCATATAATCATTTAATTAAAAAACTAAATATCTGCAACATTCCATTATCAGAAAGTGAAGAATACGACATTTAATCAATTCTTTCGATGTATTCGTTATTAAGGGTTTCACTGTATTTAATCCTAAATTTGTATAAAGAATATATTGATGCACGGAAATGGTGAAAATTTGCAAAATTGTATGTACTGTACATTCGCAATTTCAGTTATGTATATATATATATATTCATTATAACATTAGATCGACTTGAAACCAGATACATTATCATTAAAACTCATTAATGGGCTTTATATAGCACAGGGCCGATTATTTATAGTGTACATAAGATTGCAATTGATACCTCCCCTATTCTTTAACCGCCGAAAATTTGTTTTTGTGCACCCTCCTCGGTTGATGTGCACCCCCCTAAAAAAACCGGTATTAAGAAAAAATGAAGTTTGAAATCTATATATTAATCTACCTGAATGCTGACTATTAGTCATCTGACCATCATTTTAAATGAAACCCCGAAAAAAAATGTGTAAGTAAGGTTAAGGTACAAGAAAGAATTTGAGAAATAATCATAAAATGGACAAATATGTGACATTGTCGATTGATAAAACATCTGAATTCTTAATATACAGGGTGTCCCACGAAACATGACAGTATGCAGGACGACTTGAATGTCGTCTTGATTTTTGATATAATTTGCTGCGTTTATTTGTCAATCTAATTTTAGAAGTAAATTTCTAGAGATAATAATCACAAAATTTCCCTTGTCCTGCCATTTCCAAAATGTGGTCTTCCTTTTTTGTGCTTTCAATATTGCCCGAGATATGAAGAATTTCGTTCAGATTTCGACAATTTTGCTTTTATTTAACAAAATTGAAATCTGAACCAAACTCTTTATATCTCCGGTAATATTGAAAGCACAAAAAACGCAGACCACTTTTTGGAAATGCCAGGGCTAGGAGAATTATGTGATAATTGTTTCAAGAATCATGCACGTTAAAGTAGATAGAAGATAAATGTCACAAATAAATTCAAATACCAAACACGACTTTCAATTCGTCTTCCTATTGTCATGTTTCGTGGGACACCCTGTATGTAAGTCTATTTGATAAATTAGAGCCTGCCTCTGGCTCTGGGGGGACACAAGGGTACGGGCCCCCCCCCCCTCGACTACGAGCCTGCAAAAAAAGATAATATGCGTCATGGAAGACATATGGAAGGGCAAAATGTTGTTGCTTATGGCCGCCTGCCTTCTCCCCGCTCGCTGATGTTTTTAATTTATTGCACTCCCCACCCCTAGCCTTAGATGCTGTGAATTTGAAACGCGACCCCCCCCCCTTCACTCCCCCTCCTCCCCAACCCTTACACCCCAATTTCATCTTTCTGCCTGGACCACCTCGTCCTCATCTCACCCTAATATTAAGATGGGTGGGGGGTAGGTGTCGTATAGCCCCTGTAGAAAAAGGGGTTTTAAAAAGTCTTACTCTCAAAAATACCTTATACAATTTGTTAAAAAATTTAATTCTAAAATTGACATAAAACAGATTTCTAAACTTTTCAAAATGATAATATATTTATATACAGCCCTGATTGAAAGCGTATGACTAGAGCTAGTAAGGGCAGGTAGAGTTGTGATACAGTCCGGCTTCAAACGCGGAGTAATTTCACATTTTACACAAAAACTCAAACATTCAATGTTATTTTTAATTCAGAAATACAAATTATTTGTATCAGATATTTTTAGATTTTTTTTTGATTTCCGCGATAAATACCTGAAAAATATTACAAAAAGAATTTTTTAAAATAAAGTTATGAGAACTATTTTCTTTAGCGGAACAGTTTATTTATTTCTTTAACGGCCATGTTGGGTACCTGTTAGTCAGTCGTTCAGAAGCTCTATAGAGGTTTTAGAACAAATCCTAGTTTATACAAGGGAATGTGTTAAAGTAATATATTAGTGATCGCCTGAACTGACCCTGTATACCAAATTATGTAATCTTAGGCAGTAATAAGTTTATGTTTGAATGCTGTGATTCTACTTTTTAGCATTTTAAAGAAGAAAATAGCAATTATTAATTTTTTTTAATGTAGGCACACATTTTTATTTTAAGTAGTTTTAACGGTTAATTTGTTAAAATTAACCAATTCATATTAATATACATGGTTTATAAATTAATAAGGTTAAATTATTTCAGAAATAACCCTGAATTGAACTTGTGAATTCAAAATATAAAATGAGCTACGCAATGCAGGGGAGCCTTTCAAGGGGCGGGGGCTACCAGCCTCAGGGGGACCCTAAGGACCCCACCCTCATGTGGCAGCAGGGGCACTACATGGGCCCCGATTCTGGAATCCATTCAGGGGCACAAACCCAGGCCCCTTCACTTACAGGTGGTTAATTTTTTTTAAATACTTGTTGGGACTGTCCCAGAGAACGATTTTTGGACCCCCCCCCCCCTCCGGTCAATTTTGTACATGACCAGTTTTTTTTTTCAGCAAAATTATTATTTTAGGGGAAAGCTTAAGGTAAGACTATTTCTGGGCCGAGCGCTGCGGCTAGGACAGGCTAAGGGGCCAAGCGCCGCGGCTAGAACATGCTAGGGGCCGAGCGCCGTGGCTATGATAAGATAGGGGGACCGGGTGCTGCGGCCACATGACCAATTATATCTATGTGGTACATATGAGATCCATGTAGAAAATTGATAGGGTGGGGGGGGGGGGAAGGTCTTAAAATTGTTCTCATTTATTAACATCTCTTACTCACCTTGAAAAATATCTTTCAAGGGGGGTGGATACATGTCTTGTTGCTACCCCCACCCTCTCAGGAACGGCTATTAGCCTGGGGACGTCAGCTATTCCAGGAGCTTTTAAGTCTCAACTCGTCTAATGTTAGTTTTTTTCTGAAAACTAAAATATTATTCGTCCAGGTCATGAAGAGGATATGGATACCGGGGGTCAAGACCAGGTTATATTTGACATGGACCAGGGATATAACCAATCCTACACTCAGGACCAGGTTGATGAGATGAATCAACAGCTCAATCAAACCAGGTAAGTTTTCCTCTCAACTTTTCAGGGGAAACGAGTTTTGGTGAATTGGGGGTGAAAATGATAAATTGGACACCTAAAGGCAAATTTTTTTTCTTAACCCTTTTTAATAATTTCCCTTAAAATTTCCCTGCAACTTTTTGGAATACAGATGCTGTATATTCTAGGTAATTTTTTAGAAAATATCATTCGTTTCTTAGATTGAAGGAATGATAATTGCAGAGTTGATATTTCAATTTGTGTTCTATGATTTGTTTGATACCCTTTACCGTTAAACGTATGTCTTTTATTCCCCCCCCCCAATTCAGTAGGGAGGGGAGGGGGGAATTCTAAACTATTCCTCTGTCCTAATTATAAAAGAAGACTATCTAATTGTACTCAATGTCTGATTTACAATTGTATTATTTTTTATGCTAAATGTTTGTATGAATCAGATCCCAGAGGGTTCGAGCTGCCATGTTCCCGGAGACCCTGGATGAAGGATTAGAGATTCCTTCCACCCAACTTGATCCTGCTCAACCAACTGCAGTTCAGAGACTATCAGAACCATCACAGGAAACCAATCTATTTTCATTCAAAACAAATTAAATCAATCCTTAACATAAAATTCTGAATTTCGATAAATACCCGCACATTTTTGTCAGTAAGTTACATTACATTAAAATTAGTTAAGAACCCCTTAATTTTTAAGATATCCGAACAAAAAAGATAAATTTTGGTATCGATGTAGATGTTGAAGCACGCTGTGGTGAACCTAATTAACTACCAGGATGATGCCGACCTCGCCACCAGGGCGATCCCTGAGCTGATCAAGCTGTTGAACGACGAGGATCAGGTGGTCGTGTCCCAGGCCGCCATGATGGTGCACCAGCTCAGCAAGAAGGAGGCCTCTAGGCACGCTATCATGAACTCTCCCCAGATGGTGGCCGCGCTTGTGCGTGCCATCTCCAACACGAACGACCTCGAGTCGACCAAGGGAGCTGTTGGAACCCTGCACAATCTCTCCATGCATAAACAGGGTCTCCTTGCTATATTTAAATCCGGAGGTATACCTGCCCTCGTTAAACTCCTTTCTTCTCCTGTTGAATCTGTTCTGTTCTACACTATCACCACCCTGCACAACCTCCTGCTCCATCAGGAAGGATCTAAAATGGGTGTCCGACTAGCTGGAGGCTTACAGAAAATGGTCGCTCTCCTTCAGAGGAACAACGTCAAGTTCCTGGCCATAGTAACCGACTGCCTGCAGATCCTGGCCTACGGGAACCAGGAGAGTAAACTGATCATTCTGGCAAGCCAGGGACCCCTAGAGCTGGTTAGGATTATGAGGAGCTACACCTACGAGAAGTTGTTGTGGACTACCAGCAGGGTGCTGAAGGTTCTGAGTGTGTGCTCCAGCAACAAGCCTGGTATAGTAGATGCTGGAGGTATGCAGGCTCTAGCTATGCATCTTGGACACGACAGTCAGAGATTAGTACAGAACTGCTTGTGGACATTGAGAAATCTTTCTGATGCTGGAACTAAGATAGAGAACTTAGACAATCTGATGCAGGTAAATCTAGTTATCTATTTAGCTGAACTAAAGTATACACTTTTTACTTTTTCTGATAAATGATAGAAGGAGAGTCAAGCCTAACCGACAGTGTAATAATCAAATATGCAGTATGTTATCACTGTAGGCCTATACATTAGTAAAGGACCAGCATACTTTGTTATCAATGATGACAAAGTTTAGGGATTAGAACCCTGTAAAGAAAACTTCTCTCTTTAGAAATTAACCCACTCATTTAGAATAACATTCTCTTATTTCTACCAAGGACTCCCATCTCAAAATCCGTCAAGTGGTTCCTTGAAATGAAAACAAACAAACTACTTTATTTATAGAAAAATCAGCCTCTTACATTTTGTATCTTTAACTACGTTTTTACTGCAGGGTTTGGTACAGTTGCTTGGTTCAACTGATGTCAACATTGTGACCTGTGCTGCTGGAATCCTTTCCAACCTTACCTGTAACAATCAGAAAAACAAGGTAATATTTTTTATAAAATAACTTTAAAATATGATATATCTTCTTTAAAATATAATATATCTTCTTTAAAACTTTATTTTGTTGAAATACATCATTCTTTATTAATTTTCAAATGACGAAAGGATTTAAGAAATAATTTCAAGAAAAAAGGCAAATTTTAATTAAAATTTTCTTGGAATAAACTGAAGGTAAAAAAATTCTTCTTAGAAGTAAATTTGATGAAACTGTATAAAATTGCAAACGTTATTTCAAGTGACCCACCAAGTAAAGAGTTGCTTGCTCCACTCACCTTTATCTGAAAAACAATGAGAAAGATATTAAAGTACATTAAGCTGGATAAAGATGTACATTATGCTGAATCGTACATTCTCCTCTTTGAAGGGAAGGTTACTTGAAACTAAACTAAACGCAATTTGCAAGTTATTCAATTGAGATTAATCGTTTGTTTGGTTTTGGTAGGTGATAGTTTGCCAGGTTGGAGGGATTGAAGCTCTGGTCCGAACTATAATTGCTGCTGGAGATAGAGAGGAGATTACCGAACCTGCTGTATGTGCACTAAGACATCTAACATCCAGGTTAGATACAAATATTTGGGAAGGCGCGGGGGGTATTTATCAAAAACTAATGCATGAAACGTTTGGTTTGCCATTTCTTCGCCTTTATTTTTTTGCCATTGCTTATAAGAGGAACGTTAAGTTACTTTACGTCCCTTGGGACAATTGAATAAAATAACGGCCCGGTCTGACAAGTTTTCTTAAAAAAATACGCACATTTTCATCTCTAAAATACTATAAAATAGTGTAAAACTGCTTTGAAGCAGTAGATAAAAATACACATTTTTTGTGTATCTATAATTGCACATAAAATATTTAAGTAAATCATAATACAAATTTTAGGCATCCTGAATGCGAGGTTTCCCAAAACACTGTGAGGCTGCAGGGTGGCCTCCCAACCATCGTGAGGCTGATGCATCCTCCTTCAAGATGGCCTCTGGTCAAGGCTGTTATCGGATTGATCCGTAACCTAGCTCTGTGTGCTGCTAACCATGCTCCGCTCAGAGAGAACGGTTCCATCCCTCGCCTAGTTCATCTTCTCATCAGAGCTTTCCAGGATACTCATGGGGTTAGTTTATATATTTCCAGGATACTCATGGGGTTAGTTTATATATTTCCAGGATATGCATAGGGTTAGTTTATATATTTCCAGGATACTCATGGGGTTAGTTTATATATTTCCGGGATATGAATAGGGTTAGTTTATATATTTCAAGGATACTCATGGGGGTTAGTTTATATTTTTCCTGGATACTGATGGGGTTAGTTTATATATTTCCAGGATTCTGGTTAGTTTATATATTTCAAGGATACTCATGGGGTTAGTTTATATATTTCCAGGATACTCATGTGGTTAGTTTATATATTTCAAGGATACTCATGGGGGTTAGTTTATATTTTTCCTGGATACTGATGGGGTTAGTTTATATATTTCCAGGATACTCATGGGGTTAGTTTATATATTTCCAGGATACTCATGTGGTTAGTTTATATATTTCAAGGATACTCATTGGGTTAGTTTATATATTTCCAGGATACTCATGGGGTTAGTGTATATATTTCCAGGATACTCATGGGGTTAGTTTATATATTTCCAGGATTCTCATGGGGTTAGTTTATACATTTCCAGGATACTAATGGGGTTAGCTTATGTATTTCCAGGATTCTCAGGGGTTAATATCCCCTTATGAAAAATTATTTTTCCCCAAAAAGTTTGAGCACAGTGGAATTGCTTAATTGTGAATTTTCTGAATTTTTACAATTTTAAATATTGCAGAGATCCCGTAACTCTGGTTCCGGACCCGCTGGTTCCTATGCTGACGGTGTAAGGATGGAAGAAATAGTTGAAGGAACTGTAGGGGCTCTTCATATCCTGGCTAGGGAGGCACATAATAGGTATAGTCAGGTGTTAACCACAAAGAACGAGACTTCAATGACTACATAAAAACTCCTAAGAAAATAACTGTCTGAAGGCTGAAATTTGGTTTCTATTTTACATATAGTTTTTAAGTGATTAAGTGATATGGCAAGTAAAAAAGTATTTTATCAGTTGAAGGGAAACAAGAATAAATTAATAAAGAAGGCTGAGTAAATTTTGTCCAATCTTTTCTAGTCAGGTCTCATCCTTTGGGGCAGTGCTTAGGATTCATTTAATCCGCATCCGGATCCTGGATAGGTACTGGAAAAAAATGGATGAGAAATGAGGAAATTTTTATTATCTCTTTTTTTTCAAAAGTTCAGATTTGGGTTTTAGGAGTAAAACAATTTTTTTTTGGAGTTTTTGGTTGATATTTTACCCCTTGGATCCTAAGCACTGCTTTGGGGGTAACCCAGTTATAGAATCATAAATATTTAAATCATAGCTCAATACCGACAATTCCGTAATAGTTTTGAGGAATAGGATTTATAACGTGTCTAGCTAAACTTTATTTTAGCTGAATTAACTTAATTCCTTTTTAAACATGTCAAATTTATACTATTACAGTAAAAACGAGATAGTGCTATTAGTATTCCTCAACTCCTGAATTCGACAACTTTTTCCTTTATTAATTACATTAAATGTTCAGATTGTGTCGTAAATCAAAAACATTTTATTTTATTTACAATATTTTTTTTAGAGCAATTATCCGCGGCCTGTCCGTGATCCCAATCTTTGTCCAGCTGCTCTACAACGAGATCGAGAACATCCAGAGGGTCGCCGCAGGGGTAGGTTTTAAAATTTAACAAAATAGACATTAGAATATTCGCCTTTTATTTGATATAGACAGTTTAATATGGATTTAGTTGAATAAAACTCTATTTTTTGTTTAAGATTTTAAGAAAAAATTTATTTGATCTTCCAAATTGAGTTATCTATGGTTGGCTGAATCTGTTTTGTTTGTATGACAAAACCTTTATCCAACCAGGAATCTCAAAAGCCATTATTCTATATTCTATCTTTAATCATTTGATTCTTGTTCGTGACTTAACAAAACATAATTCATAATTATTTTAATGATTCTCACTATTTTCGATGATTATGGGCGATTCATAATTTTACGAACAGAACTATAATTTGTTGTTTAGGTTCTGTGTGAGCTTGCTGCTGACAAGGAGGGAGCAGCTATGATTGAGCAGGAGGGCGCTACTGCTCCTCTAACAGAGCTGCTTCACAGCAGAAACGAGGGCGTAGGTAAAAACTTAGCTTTTTTATCTTAAAATGATTATTCCAAACGTTGTCTAGTTCAATTTTTCTTTTATTTTACGCATTAGGTTTGTGTAACTGAAAAAAATTTTTGCAAACAAAATTTTTCCGAAATAGCTTTTATTTTACAAGCCGCGTTCAACGAATTTGATTTTAATTATCATTTTCTAATGGTAATGAAGGTTTTGATTCTATTTCTTTGAAATCGAATGAATCCTGCATATTTGCTGTTAATGTGAATGTATTGTGAGTAATCTCAATTCAAGATAAGAATTCAAATTGTTGACTCAGTAGTTCCTGTAATCTAACGCTTTATTGGATCTATATGTTTATATATATATATGTATATAATATACATCTCTTTTTCATAATATCGAGACTAATCTAATCATGTACTTATATCCTGAAAAGTGTATAAAATTCAACCAATCAGAGTCGCGTATATGAAGCCGATAAATTTGAAATTTTGCGCGCCATTTAAGTTTATATACAGAAGTGGGAGCAACTCTCTAATTTAGAAAACCCGGTTTTTGATTTTTCTCTACTATATCCAAGAAAGAACGGTTTAAGAAGAAAATCCATCGGATACTCAGATTAAGTAATCGGGATTAAGGATATCTCATTCTGAAGTTTTCAGCTCAGTATACAGTACTTAACTCCTGGCTTCGTGTAATATTACCCCCTTCCGTTAATTGCTTACGTATATCCTTTCTTTCTGAAACTATTGTTTCCTCTTCTATTTAACTACCTTTATCAAATAGTTCAAATGTGTAAATGCAAAATCTGAATTGAATAGGCTTTGTTTTCATGAACTTAAAAGAAAATCTTGTAATTTGAAGTTGAATCCAAGCTAATCTTGACATTGATAAATTCCAGATAATCTCTCACCCTTTAATTCCCCTTTGATATTTAACACTCCCCCCCCCCTCATTCCTTATGTCTACCTTGTTTTTTAAAAGATATAATCCCTTCTCACATTCCGCAAAATCTTAGAAGTTTTCCTTGACACTAGCTAAACAGAACAATGGGGAATATATTTTCTGAAAAAATCGTCCCCCTCTAAACATACCCCTAGTGTGATAAGACTGAATATTAACTTCTGGTGAATAATTGTTGAAAAGATGGTTGAAAAGTTTGCAAGCATATTTAGGGGTGTGTATTTTCTTTAAAAATCATTTCCCTTCTTTTGATTATATACCCCTGTTTACTGTGCATGGTGCATCTCCTTGAAAAATACACCTAAGTCAATAAATCATTAGGTATATTTGTTACTTAATTTGTTTAAAGGGTTGTTGTATGGTATTTTTGGGTTTTCTAATTTGTTACTTTCTCTTATCGTCGGTGTTAAATTTGTTATAAGAAAAAATACCGGATGTTTTAAAATCGCATTTTAATAAATACTGTTTTCAGCAACTTACGCGGCAGCAGTTCTATTCCGTATGTCTGAGGATAAGGGAGGAGAATATACCAAGAGATTGAGCCAGGAGCTCAGGAGCTCACTTTATCAGAGGGGACAGGAGGAGAGCCTCTGGGGGAATGAGCATATGCCCCCTGCAGATTTACAGGTAGGTTCCCCCCCCCATATCCCCACTTTCATCCTTAAGCACTCAACCCCCCTTCAATAATACTCCCTATTTACACGCATTTTTACTCCCAAACCCAAAGGTTTTTATTTTTCGCATTACTTATGACGTGCCTCAATTGTGTTAAAAACTATCGTGTTATCCAATGGGGTCACTGATGATTGTTATCATTTTCATTTTCTTAAATTGGACGAAAAAAATTGTCCATTTTTAGGTTAGTTCCTGGTTTATAATTAAGGGTTTTTTTAGTATCACATTATTTTTCCGTTTTGCACGTTTTAGTTTTGTCAAGTTTAGTTTTTTAGGCATATTTTATTTATTTAGCATGTTTTATTTTATTTTATTTTTGTTTTGTTCGGTTGTATAGGAGATGCTAGGAGTAGAAGGTGTTTATGGACAGGGTCCACCTTCTGTAGCTAGTGGGCCACGTAACTACGCACATACAGGTACAGTCCATGTACATTGTACATTTAGTGTACATGCATAACACTAGGGGTAAACTTAGATTCACTAGCCATTTAAACATTGTTTCCAGAGAAGAATTTTCAAATAAAAATGTACATTTCCCTTCCCATCCATGTTTTGAAACTTGTCTACCCAAAATTCCTTTAAATGTCCCATAGTTTTTACTGAAATGGAAAAAATGGAAAAGATATTTTATTTTATCGTACAAAATGTCTTTTTCAAGAAAATTTTTTGATCTTCATTTTTACCCCTAAAGAACTAATTTATATTTAATATTTATGTTCTTGCATGTTTATGTTCTTATCTTTGTTTTATTTCTTCTTTTATTATTTATTTTCTTATATTCTTAATTTTCTTGTTAGCACTATCTCGAGGAGGTTACCCCAGGCGGGCTCCTAGAGGGGTGCTCAGGGGCCCCGAGGTCATTTACGAGTCGGTAACCCGGGGTTCCAGGGGCCCCGAGGAGGGTATATATGGGGTAGGGGGTGGTATATGTCAGCATGGTTGGGGGACAATAAGTCTGACCTCCCTGACCCCCTCCAACTATTCTATATGTAATATATCAGGTATCTTGAAACCCCAGAAATACAGGGGTGTGTGTAAACCGAACTAACCGTATCCCTGTGCGTTTAAACCCAATACAAAGTGACTGCAAGCGTAATTTTAAGTGACCCTCCATGTAAAGATGGCAATACCTGATTCACAACGGTACCCTAGCTTTGTTTGATCAAGTGTGAATTATTTCAATGATTATTTCAACTGTATTTTCTCCTCGAACGTGACTTACGCATTTCTAATGCAGACAAATTTAAAGGAATTATCAGAATTTAAACCACTTTAAAACCCAAAGAAAACGACAATTTATTAGGGAAAGGTTTCAAGGGTACCGTTGTGAATCGTAAATTGTCATGCATGGAGTGTCACTTGAAATTACGCTTACTGTCCGTTTAAAAAAAGCTTATCTATCCACAATAAGCAATTGAGATCTATTAGTAGGAAAGAAAAGAAATGATAATTTCAGATTAATAATTAAAAATTTCCTCACACAGACTTTCATGTTTTCAGTTGTTTTTACATTTTTCTGATGTAAATAACATTGATCCTTTTTTTTGGTTTGTTTTTAATAGTTAGACAAGAGGGGGATCTAGATTTTGAGTTTGTTTTGTTAATAGGGTGCCAAGGGGTATGGATTAAGAGTTTTTTTTTTGGTGCGGTTAAAATTATTTTACCTAGGATTGGCTGGGGTGTGATGTGAAGAATTAGTTGATTTTGGGGGTTTAGGCTTCAAATACGATCAGGGGGTGTAAAACTTTTAAGAAGTTTTGATAAATTGGAGGAAAAAATTAAATTGGACATTGGCAAGTTTTTTCATCCTTTTTGATTATTTTGTCTTAAATTCTAGTGTTTTTCCCTAAAATTTTTTTTTTCCAGTTCAGCAATGAGGGAGGGGGGGGGGTGTATTAGTTTGTCTAGAATATATACAACCCCTGATTCCGATTAATGAAAGTAGAGTGATCCTCATAATATTTTAGTTTCTGATATGATTTACTAAAAACCTTTTTAAATCCTTGATTTAAACTAACGTTTCCTATTTCTTTCCTTGCTAACACTAAACTCACTAAACTAAAAGAGGTGCAACTAATGAGAGAGCTACTTCTCAAATGGACTCTTAATGACCTCTATGCAAAGATGGCAGTGCCCGATTTATCCTTTAATAATTATTCTGATAAAAAATGAGGAAGATACCGTCGTTTTTCTGACTCGAAAAGTGCTTATTTTTTGTGAGTTTCTCCATTGGTTCCTATAAACAAGAAATGCGAAACTGACTTTTGCACAAGACCCGCAAATATAAATATACAATTTTAAAACAGTGCTTAGGATCCATTTAATCTTGATGCGGATCCGGATCCGCACTGGAAAAAATGTATCCGGATCCAGGTCATTTCTGTAAGATTTACTGAATTTTTTTAACAAAAAATAATTTTCAATTTTTTTTATTTTTTTTTCGCATATTTTTATCCGAAAACTCGATGAACCATTCAGAAATGAGGAAATTTTTATAATCTCTTTTGTTCAAAAGTTCAGATTTTGGTTTTAGGAGTAAAAAGTTTTATTTTTCAGTTTTTGGTTGATATTTTACCCCTTGGATCCGGATCCTTAGCACTGGTTTTAAAGAAACAAAATCATTGATATCTAGTTCATAATTGATCATCTAAAGGTTTCAAGGGTACAATTGTTTATCGGGTATTGCCATCTTTGCATGAAGGGTCAATTGAAATTACACTTACAGTCCCTTTAGGTCAAAATTATATGTAAAACAAAAATGATCTCAGAAGGCTATATTTGTGAAAAAAAATTTACGTAACTACGCAGTAATGTCACAATAAGTGTAGAACTATTGGGGATATCCGCGTCTAAAATTAATAGTCAGGTTTTCTTAACCCTTCGTTGTTTAATAATACTGATTATATAACAGCTAGTTTAATAATACAGATTATATAACATCTATTTTGTTTGACAGCTAAAAAATCATAAAATACAAAAACCTAATTTTTGATGTTTCCATTTCTTTTCTGAGATTGAAATTTGAATTTATCAAAAGCAAAATTCTTTAATTGCAGAAAGAAAAAGATTTTGAGCGGACAAATTTTCCATTCACAAACTTAAATTCCTATATCTCTGCAATCTGAGGGTTTAAACCTTTGATATTTCTAACTTAGATTATTTTATCTAACAGAATACATAGTTCGAAATATCTTAGGTCTACGACATTTAGTTTTGAAGATAAAGCAGGGGTCCATATAATTCCATTTCTGATCCCAAACGGGATCCGGGTTGAAAGTATATTTAGTGGCATGAAAGTACACTTTCTGTGTCATTGTGAACTTTGGCAAGTTTTTTGTGTACGTGCAGTACACTTCAGACATGTGTATTGTGTAATCCATTTGGGGTGTAAATATCAGTATTCAATTTAAGAGATGAATAATGATACAAAAAAAATAAACACTCCCTTGTAATGTACAATATACAATACATTCTTTGGTATGAAATTTTTCCTAAAACTTAACATCATACTTCCAATTGATTAGTATACAACAATATGGTTAATTTCTGCCCCTTATATCAATCAATCAACATTTGGAATCGTATTAGATGGAAATTTAGGGACCCCTGAGATAAAGGAATTAAAAAATCAAAGTATGTGGCAAAGACTCAATTTCTTTAATTTTAATTCTTGAGAAAAAATCTTAATTTTGTGTGATAATATTTAGGATATGATGGGGTACCAGTAGACGGTATGCAAGGTCTGGATATAGGTTCTCATCCAGGATCCACATATGGACAGGTAGTGTACTTTGAGAAAAGCTTGTTGTAAATCGAAACTGAAAGAGAAAGTCGTCAACATAATATTGATATAAACACAAACCACTTTAGTTCACAAAATGTTAAAAATAAGCTATTAAAATGTTTTGTGTTTAGGTTCAGGATATGGATATGGGAGACCATATGAACTATGATTCAGACCTTCCCCAACCCCCTCAGGATAATAATCAGGTATAATTAGTATAATCAAGTTTTTGGCAAAACAAATATGGAATCTAATTGAAGATATTATGTCCCTCCAGGTTTTTTGTTGCTAGAATTTAATTTATAATTTATAAGAATTATATTTAACCTACATGAAATGAATTTCTCCGTCAATTGACGAGATTTTCTACACAAATCACTCCTTCAAGAACAGAAATAAAAATCCTCAAAATTAATGAATTAGATAATTGAATTAATTCATGTTTATTATAGGTGGCAGCTTGGTATGACACCGATCTTTGAAGAGTTCAAGTTTAATATGTAAATAAAACATCAAGTAATAATAATAATGTAATAATACTTGCGAATATTTGGCAAGCCTGGATTATCCGCGGATAATCTAGAAGTTTGCCAAATCTTTAGTTTGCAAACTTATTATCTTGTGCCAAATCTTAGATTTACTGTCAATCCTACAAACACTAGCTGCCTAGCTGGCCGGGCTAGTTTCAAACCAAAATTTTTACTTCAGTTGAATTTTATCTCTTGTTCCACAGCCCCACGTTGCTTCCTTTTTATGTGATATAAATCCTTTTAAAAATTTTATTTCAAATACTAAAATACTTTTTTACGTTTTATTTCGGCACAATCATTAAATTAGGATAATGTTATGATAACTATTTTTTTTGTGTATAATCATGTATTTTGTTTGTCCAATTTTGTAAAATTTTGTCTCAACAAAACGAGACAATTTCATTGCACGGTGTACTATTTCCTAGAATGCGGTGTGCATGTTTTTCGAATCTGTAAATACTTTTTTTACAACACCCTGTATGCGTGAATATTTTATTGAGCCTCGGTATTATATTTACGTCAACCTGTTGTATCAACATATTAGTATGTTACCCATATTTGTGTGTCACCCTGTACATACAATGTTTTCCCTATTTATTGTATGATGCTACCAGTCCTTCCTGGTAGTTGATTAGTTGACTGTTAGGACGAGACATTATTCATAATTATTAAAAATTCAGAAATAAAGCATTTTCTTCATTTAAATACAGTTTTGTTATTCGGATTAATAATTGAATTTTATGTTCTATAATTTATTATGTTTAATACAGAACCTCATGGAGTTACTGGAAGTACAATGGGGTAGCCTGTGCCCTCTTCTAAGATCAATCTTCAGGAGAAATATGTGGTTTGTCGCTTTGTCTACAAAGCATCCCCCCCCCCCTTTTAAACTTAGTTAAAAGTACCGTTGTTAATCGGTTTGGTACGATTTTTAAAACTTAATATAAACTGTACCCATGTTAAAGTTTGCATTTTAAGTATTGTTATCCTTTCTTTGCCGGTGAGAATAAATATATGCAAAAAATGGACCAAATCGATTTACAACACTAGCTACTTAGTAATGGCCGACTGGATACGGGGCTAAACAGATTAAGGGGTAATGGCGTAATTTATAATATACATTTATAGAGTAGCATGTTTAATATAAAAAAAATTGAATCTAAAAAAGTTAATCTTGCTCGAAGTAGTAAGACTTTAACCAGATGATGAGATCAGGAGGGTTCAGGGTAGAGATGAGTAGGGTTCACGGTTGAGATGAGCAGGGTTTAAGGTTGAGATGAGCAGGGTTCAGGGTAGAGATGAGTAGGGTTAACGGTTGAGATGAGCAGGGTGCAAGGTTGAGATGAGCAGGATTCAAGGTTGAGATGAGCAGGGTTCAGGGTAGAGATGAGTAGGGTTCACGGTTGAGATGAGCAGGGTTCAGTTCAGGGTAGAGATGAGTAGGGTTCACGGTTGAGATGAGCAGGGTTCAGGGTAGAGATGAGTAGGGTTATAGTTAGAGATGAGTAGGGTTCAGTTCAGGGTAGATATAAGTAGAGTTCAGGGTTGAGATAAGTAGGGTTCAGGGTAGAGATGAGTAGGGTTCAGGGTAGAGATAAGTAGGGTTCAGGGAAGAGATGCTTAGGGTTCAGGGTAAAGATGAGTAGGGTTCAGGTTAGAGATGAGTAGGGTTCAGGTTAGAGATGGTAGGGTTCAGGGTAGAGATGAGAAGGGTTCAGGGTAGAGATGAGTAGGGTCCAGGGTAGATATGAGTAGGATTCAGGGTAGAGATGAGTAAGGTTCAGGGTAGAGATGAGTAGGGTTCGGGGTAGAGATGAGGAGGGTTCTAGTTAGAGATGTGTAGGGTTCAGGGTAGAGATGAGTAGGGTTTAGGGTAGAGATTAGTAGGGTTTAGGGTAGAGATGAGTAGGGTTCAGGGTAGAGATGAGTAGGGTTCGGGGTAGAGATGAGGAGGGTTCTAGTTAGAGATGTGTAGGTCGTGTAGGGTTCAGGGTAGAGATGACTAGGCTCCAGGGTAGAGATGAGTAGGGTTCAGGATGAGTATGGTTTAGGGTAGAATGAGTAGGGTTTAGGTTGGAAAGACTTCTACTCTAACTCAAGCCCTAGTCCCTACTTACATCCAACCTAAGCCTTAACCTTTTTCGCTTGAACCCTTTTCAGATCTAAATCAATACTGTTGAGATCAAATTCCAAGTTTACCTTAAAGGTTTTAATTTTAACCCCGAGATTCTCCTGGTGGCCGTAAGTTTCGTAGGCGTATTTCTGACTGATTTATGATTTTTAACCTGGAGACTAGTCCGGCCATGTATGTCGTCTTATATCTGAATATAACTGAGCTGAGCTGAAAACTTTAGAATTGAGGATATCGAGATCAATATTAATCTGCAGATTTACCGTAATATCCAGGAAAGTGTTGATTACAGAAACCAAACAACCAATCGGAAGCCGAGACGCACCATAAACAAGAAAGCTCTCATTAGTCGGACCCAGCAGGGATCATCCAAAAGAGAGGATTATAATAAAAAAGTGTCCACAATTGATATAGAGATTTAGCAATCGGGATTTGAGGTATCCACAGCTTAGGGAACATTTGTTTTGAGTTTATCTTAAACGGTTGATTTTGATATCCAATGAGGCACTTTTAATTGGAGGATACATGCTTGATCCTTTATACATGACATCAGTTGGTAAATAATTTAGAATGTCTTCTTCCCTGTTATAGATATTAAAGACTTTTTGCATTTTTTTCGTTTAATAAAATCTTTTACCAAAATATATTTTACTTTGAAATTAATTTTACTACAATATGACTACCATAAAATATTCTTATAATTCTCTTTGGTGTTAAACAACTTAAATAATTATGAAAAGACATTTTAAATTATTCTCCAACTGCCGTGTTTCGTGGGACACCCTGTAGTTCTCCCACTACGAGATATCGCAGAGAAATCAAGTTAATCTATAGGTCTGCCTAATATATGGAGATCAATGTTTGAGTCCGAGATTCACAACATAGAAGTTTGACTTCTAAATGCATTTAAACAAGAACCTTCTCAATTCATTGATCTCAGTTCGAATTTAATGAATATGATCCGCGTCTGAAATTCGCCAAAAATCGGTTTTAATTGAGCGCCGGCTTAAATTTTAAAACGTAAATTATAATTTTAAGTGGAATCAACCATATTTGAGCCGCGTCTCAAATTTAAGCAGCTTAAATATGGCCCCTGAGGGTTTGTATAACTATATATATATATATATATATATATATATATATTGACTTGACAGTGTTGAGGTTATTCAAAACTTAAAATACAATTTGTGTGTTTGTGTTAGTCAGCTACAGGTTTACCCAGAATTAATGAAACTTTAAAGACGACCTGAAACTCCTTAAATTTGACGATTCCAAGATTAGGTCTTCTACCTTCAAGACAACCTTTTAATGGCTTATTTACTGATTTGGCGAAGAAAGAAACTCGTTTATAGTAAAGTTGCAGGGAATCGTAAAGAGAAGGAAACAGACTGTATATATTTTAAGTTGCAGGGAATCGTAAACAGAAGGAAACAGACTGTATATATTTTGAGTTGCAGGGAATCGTAAACAGAAGGAAACAGACTGTATATATTTTAAGTTGTCTCTGAAATCTCATCCTTTGTGGATAAAGAAAAAACCTTGAATATTACTTTTGGTTTAAATTTCATTTTTTTGTCTAAACTAAGCAATTGTAGTCGCACCTTTACTGTACTGAACTCTACATATAACTTATTTGAGTTGAACCTGTCATGTAAAATTATCTACACCATCACATTTTCAGTAATGGACGTAAATTCATAACTAAGAGGCGCTAAAAAGTCATGAAGTTAAACTAGACATTTCGCCTAATTTCTATTTTTACCAAATGTCTAAATGGAACATATACATTGTTAATATTTCAATATTTCTCCTGTAGATATGTAGATTTACGAGTAGATATTCATATTCAAAAAATGTGGAGATTTGCCAACAGCTTCCCAGTTTCAGAGTGTAGTTTTAGGTCCTTAATGAACATTCGTTTTCAGCCTAGACTTTTCTATTGATTTGTAATAACCACCAGACGAAATGAAGCCAAAAAGATATTTAGTTAAACTGAAAAACAATCTTCTGTATAAAACTGCAGGCATTACCATAAGTTTAATGTAAAGGGGTATTTAAAGGAACAACGAAATTTCATCCATTTTCAAAGATTTTTTATATTTAGAAAAGATAACATTTGATGAGCAGGATTCAAGGTTGAGNTACCGGAAAAAAAATCCTATATACGCCCCAACTTTAGCTTTAATTATTCCTTTGAAATGATGGTCATAAATAACAAATCATGGATATACAATAGAATGGATTTATCATAGACAAGCTTTGATGTAATTTTCTGGCTGGGGTGTCATGCAGTACATTAGACAAAGGAACCTGAATTTGTATTTGATTTTCGTAAAGCTAATAATTGTCAATGGAGAATAGAAAAACATTATAACTCTTTAAAACTTGATAAAATTTAACCTCCTTCTTTATATCAAAGAAACTGTCGGAGACAACCTTAGATGTATTAGATAATTCAAATTTTAGAAAAATTTCTTAATATCTCATTCAATTTTTTAGGAACAATGACAGACTACTTTTGGAAATGCCAAAACATGGAGCATTTGATGCTCCTAATGTCTTGAAAGGCAATGTCATGTTTACACGATTTTAGTTAAAGTATCTCGTTTTTCCTTACTCCAGAGCCCACCACTCTGTTTTGGGCCCTGAACTTCCCTTCTAACATTTTGTTAAGTAACTAGTTATTTTTCAAGGATGAACAATAAACAGAATGAAAATTTGTTAGAGTGAAACCTTAAGTACACCATGTGCAAATATTTAAAAAGTTCACAAAAAATCTAGGGTTCACTTATCTATATCAGCTTAAGCCACTCCAAAAGCATTACATGTACGCTGGTCCTTAACAGTTCAGATAGGTAGATAGAATCATAAGCGGGCCGCGTAACAAATCGTTATTATTGTTGTCATTATTCTAAATAGTTCTCTATCTCTTCAATACAAACTGTTTATATGATTATATAACATCTATTTCGAATGTGAGATGGCAGTGAAAAGTTAAAAACTAGCTGACAAGCTAACTATCCGTACATAGTATGTACCTTTCATTTACATATTTTCTATAGCGTTACGTACACAGGATTACACGTACATTTAACAAAATATAATAGATTTGTAATTGAGAGCATGTACAAAGTTTTTTCTTCTGCCAGCATGATCTTTGTGAAAATACATAATACTGTACAGTGTACACAGTACATAATATATGATCGGAACATGTACATTGTACATAATCTCAATTACAAATATAATCACAGCTACTTGGGATCTGCCAAGGTATGTACATAGTTAGGGAGAGACACCATTTTAAAACTAATCCACCTGCCTTCCGGGGATCCGACAGGGTGTTAAAAGAGGGTTAAACTTGTCCTTACTGGGTGTATTCTCATGTGTAAATCAGAATGTTCAAACATCAAGGCCTTAAATAAAGTTAGTTTTCAAACATATCAGTCTAAACGTTTAATTTCTTAAATATAATGTGAGCATGAATATTTATATTTGAATGAATTAGTATTTAAATTATCTAGTGCACAGTTCAAGGAGCACTTTTTATCAAGCAATTTTCTCTGTCTAGAAAATGGCGCGCGCGCATGCGCAATTGAGGATTTATTTTCTGATATCACTGATATATCCTTTCAGTTTATAAGTTTTCATCTTCTTCATAATGCGGCAAGATAAATTTTGATTATTTTTGATTTCAAGAAAATCCCCCTATGTTGTTTTACTTCGGGAGATTCGAATATTCTCTTTTGGTTATTTATCAGCAAACTTCTGGTTGGTTCAACAACAGCTGATTTTAGTTTGAAGAATCAGCTGATCTCTTGTTGATTAATCAGCCAAATTCTAGCTGATTTCTGATTGTTTTAACCTGCTAATTTTGATTTGGTTAATAAGTTGAATAATCAGTTTATTTCGTTGATTTTCTCCGCTTTTCTTATTTGCAGCAACCTTTCAATCAGAGCTTTTGACGAAGTACCTTGATGGTACTGCTGTACATTGTATATGAATGAGCTGTACAATGTAAAAATGTAGATCCTGTACTTGTAAGTGGAGTTGTACACGAGTTTTATGTATAATTAGCTTACACTGTTCATATTATTGTGTCTATGTATGGGAGAAAGGGCGGGACTGCCTCGTAACGAGGACAAGGGTGACATACTATCCCTTTGTTTCTCTAAACTAGAGGCTGCAGAGGATGAATTAGAAACTGACGGAGACCCACTGGAGGTTGAGTGGGATCTCCGAGGACTTTCTGAAGGTTGAGTGGATCGTCCTCGAACTATCAGCTGATCAACTTTAGGATAGTTTTGTCGGATAGTGTCGATCACGTCCAGAAGGTTCTTAGCGTCCATTGCAAGGATATGTGCAGAAGATAACATTCCCCTGAAACAAAAATAGAATTAAAGGGACTGTACGCGTAGTTTCAAGTAACCCTTCATACAAAGATGGCAATGTTAGATTTACAACGGTACTCTTAAAAGCTTTGTCTGATCAAATATGAATTAGATATGCATGTTTTTGTTTATATAAACCGTTTTTATTAATTTGTGGTTACTCTGCCAAAGCGGTTTGCGCAATTCTTTTTTCTAAGGAACGATAGAGATATTCACAGAAATAAACACTTTTCGTCAAAGAAATGAGTTAATTATAAATTTAATCAGATTAAAATTTAATATTTTGATATTGTCAAAACACTATTCAAGAATACGACATCCAAACAAAAGTACTCAACAATCAAAGGATTACACCAGCTGGTAGAAAATATTAGAGTTTCGGGCGAGTAATCACTTCCTTTGCAGAAATGCAAAAGAAGAAAAAAATAATAATAAAAGGGCGATTTTTTAAATTAAATATTAATTTAAGGTGCTTAATAGCTCCGAATGACCTTTCAAACCTCTTAATGAAAAACTTACTTCCTATAATCTGCCTCTACGGTTGTGTTGTTATACTTCTGTGCTAGCTTCATACTATTAACGAGATCACTCATATCCTTGCTCAGCACCTTGTGCGCCATCTCCACCTGCCGGTGGGTCACCCCGGGGAATAGAGGTATGAGTCGGTCTACTGCAGCTAGCAGCTCACGTAGTTCCAACCCAACCTAATCAATAAAGCAATCAATAAATAAATAAATAAATAAATTAGCAAATTAATTAATTAATCATTTCAATAATTTAGCACAGGTTCAGGTCTAGGTTTGATGCATAACTTTCTTGACTAGGTATAGGTCTAGGTTTGATGTATAACTTTCTTGACTAGGTATAGGTCTAGGTTTGATGTATAACTTTCTTGACTAGGTCTAGGTCTAGGTTTGATGTATAACTTTCTTGACTAGGTCTAGATCTAGGTTTAATGTATAAATTTCTTAACTAGGTCTAGGTCTAGGTTTGATTTACAACTTCCTTGACTAGATTTTGGTCTAGGTTTGATGTATAAATTTCTTGACTAGGTCTAGGTCTAGGTTTGATGTATAAATTTCTTGACTAAGTCTAGGTCTAGGTTTGATGTATAACTTTCTTGTCTAGGTCTAGGTCTAGGTCTAGGTTTGATTTACAACTTTCTTAATTAGGTCTAGGTCTAGGTTTGATGTATAACTTTCTTGACTAGGTCTAGACCTAGGTTCGATGTATAGCTTTCTTGTCTAGGTCTAGGTTTGATGTATAAATTTCTTGACTAGGTCTAGGTCTAGGTTTGATGTATAAATTTCTTGACTAGGTCTGGGTCTAGGTTTGATGTATAAATTTCTTGACTAGGTCTAGATATAGGTTTAATATTTACCTTCTTGACTAGGTCTAAATAAAGGTTTGCTTGATGAGCTTGAACTCCTTGACTAAGCCCCATGACTGCTCTAACGACACTTGTTGTAGAATCATATACACGGTCATTGGTTCGGTCCAGAGGAGCTGTTGGGGTCGGCTCAAGCTTCTAAAATAATAATAGTAATAATAAGAATAATAACTACTTGTATCCTTGACGAATATTTGTCTTAAAACTAGTGAGCCTCGAACCCCAGATTAACATTAATGTCAACTGGTAAAAAGAAAATACATATTCAAGGACTAACTTCTAATAAACATAATAACTTTCATGTTGAAGTTTTTTTCTGAACTCCTTAAATACAGTGATAATCAGAAAATTGTAGAATAGGAAGACGACATTAAAGCTATACTAAAATGCATGTGATGTTGTTACAAAGCAAATAGCTTTACTATAGTAAGTTATTACATCAAATATTCATTAAAGTAGGTCTGTTTACACTGCACCATTTCTGTGTCTCATGTTCATTGAACTATTTAAAGTCATAACTTGAGTCTAAAAGTCGACTTTCAAGTCATAGCTTTCTATTTTTCACTGCAATATTATTTAAGGAAAAAATAAATCATAAAGGACACCAAACTACACGGCTATAAAACTATTCATCTGCTAGGGAGACCGGACCATCTTTGAAGAGTCACCCTCCTTGACTCTTGGTTGTTCCTAGTAAACCCACTGATACTTTTTTGCATCCCTGGGTATGAAGATTTCAAAACTCATTTATGTAGAAAGATGATTAGGCAAAAAAAAAACAAGTTTATAGTTGCTGGGAATCATAAATATAAGGAAACAGACAGTAAACATTCTATGCAATCATCTCTGTATTCTCATCCTTTGTGGGTAACCCTGTACAATTCTAATCATACAAAACTAACCTTTACAATAAACTGTTTGTCCTCTGATCCTGAGGACAGGGGTGTAGAGGACCTATCTCTGTCCTGCTGTGTCCTAGAGGACGTATCTGAGTGTCCAACTAGTAATCCATCACTAGAGTCAGAGTTCTCGGATCCGAAGGACTGGGTGATGGACAACCTCTTCTTCTAGAAGATATATTCATATCAAAACTATACAAGGAGGGAGATAGATAGATAGATAGATAGTTAGATATATATAGGTAGATAGATAGGTAGTTAGATAGATATATATAGATAGATAGTTAGATAGATATAGATAGATAGATAGATAGTTAGATATATATAGGTAGATAGATAGATAGTTAGATAGATATATATAGATAGATAGTTAGATAGATATAGATAGATAGATAGATAGTTAGATATATATAGATAGATAGTTAGATAGATATATATAGATAGATAGTTGGATAGAAATAGATAGATAGATAGTTAGATAGATATAGATAGATAGATAGTTAGATAGATATGTATTTCATAAATGGATATAATTAAATTGAAAAATATTTAGTTTTTCATTATCAATACTTTTTTAATTCTTTCGGTTAGCATTTACTGTACATCAAGAAAACTTGCTTCAAAATTAAGGAAATGATAAAAGTACTGAAAAATGCTATAAGTAACCAAAACTACAAATTTTAACATGAGATTTGTTTAAATGCTAGGCTCCAGGTCGCTTTGTGCCCATTTCCGATTTTAACTTTCAATTTTGCTCTATCTACGGCATTTGCTCTTCTAAAATTATCAAACAATAACAAACAAACAAAGCGGATAAATCGATTTTCTTGTGGATTTTGAAAAATCTTAATTAAGAAAATTCATAAAGTTATCCATGGGTCCTGTGATTTCTCAAAAAAAAATTGGGGCCCTATCGGTTTAGTCGTTTTAAAGTTTATTAGAAAGGAACAGGACAGACAAAGCACGGAAATATATAGATTGATTCAAGGAACTAAATACAGGAACGCCCAACTCAGAAATACGCATATTGGGCCCTTTTCCCTCAAAAATGATGCGTTGCCGCTGAATTCTTTGTTTGATCTCCTCCCACTGCAGTACACCGATTTGACGCATCAGGCGGTTCCTGGTCTATATATTTCTAGGATTGATTGGTTCAGAAATTCTTAATACTTTGTACTGTACTAGGCTTTAAGGGCGCTTCGCGCCCATCTTCTATTTCAATTGTGAACATGTTCTTAATGTAACATTGAAAAACAAAGAAAAAAAAATCGCGGATTTTATAAAAAAGAGTTGCGGATTTTCAAGATTTTAAATTTTTTTACAAAAATAAAAAGCTTTTCAACACATTTTTTTAAATTTTCATCATTCATAAACCTTCCCTGGGGTAACGCGAGGTCCCACAAAAAATTTGGGCCCGATCGGTTCAGCCGTTTTGACGTTTATTGGATACAAACAAACAAACAAACAAACACACAGACAGACAAGCTAAATTTATATACAGATGTACACAGCACACTTTACTGCACAGTACATGGTAAGGATAATGCAGTACAGAGTGCATAGTACACTGTACAGTATACACAGTACACAGATATTAAGCCGAGAAACACGAGAAATAAATTCTGTTTTATCCTTCTCTAATCTGAACTGTAACACACCGGACACCGAGTAAGGCTGGCAGTGCAGGGATTTATTTTATAGTTTTTATGATTTATTACTCTACCCCCTTCTCATAGCCCCCCTCCTCTTCCCATAACCTTCCACCTCACAAATAACTCCTTCTTTTCCTCTATTTATATCATTATATTGAATATAGGACAGTATGCTAAGCCAGGATAGAAAACAAATGAATTTAAATGCTTACAAGTTTAGAACAAAAAGAGGAGAAAAAAATATAACAAACGTGAAAACTTTGAGAGAATTTTAATTAAGTTTCATAAATATATTTCAAAAGTATTTTATTTTCTTTATGTAATGTATGTTTGGGACAAATATATATATTTGATTTGATTTGATTTGATTTGAATTTTTTTTAAGTTAGAATAAAACGAATGAAAAGAATAGGAACATAAAAACAAATACAAAAATAATTTAAACATAAAACAAAAACATACTACCAATAAAAAATAAAGAAAAGGAAAAATTGCTTCAAAAAAATATGAATAATTAAGAATTTATAAAAAATGAAAAGACATCTTCACCAGTGATCCAGAAATAAGAAAGGAAAAAACGCCAATGAACAAACTAAAATACGAAAAGCGCCAATAAAAATAAAAACGCCAAATTACCAAATTATTTTCCTCTTGATGCAACCACTTATTCTCCTCTTCGCTCTGGAGCTGCTGCTGGCGTAGTTTAGCTTCAAGAAGACGCTGCTCCTGCTCCTGACAACGCTGCTGCTCCAAACTACGTGATCGCTCCAACTCTAAGCTCCTGCTCCGCTCCAGGTCCATATTACGGGTTCGATCCAACTCCGCTAGTCTACGATCCGCTTCTTCATCGCTACCCTCACGGGACTAAAAAATGATAAATCTATAAAAAATGTAATCCAGAAAACATGGGAATTCAAATCTGTGATTTTTTAATTAAAAAAAATCGAAGAATTCTTTATTATTATTGTCCTCTATACAATGTCCTTGGGTCATCAGAAAGATTTAGACAATTTTCTATGAGAATTGAACTTAACACTCGATAGAAATTCTAATTTTCTATTTTTTTGTAACCTGATGTTTTGATATTTTTAAGTTTTACAACATCTGCCTACAAAGATATAGAGATTCAAAAATTAGTGTTTGCGTTAAGTTCCTTTTTATATTATTTAGGAAGCTGCAACCTTGTTTACAAATGAATGCCATTAGATTTGAGACAATTTATAAGTCGTGACTTTATTCCCATGTTTTTTTAAACTCCCTGTACATTGAAACCAGACAACTGTGGAATAGGAATATGACCTATCTTATTACTTATTAAATCACATCTTAGTTAATGGGTCTGTTTACACTGCACAATTGCTGTGTTTCATGTATGTCGGACTAATTGAAGTCACAGCTTGAGTCAAAAAGTCGTCTTTCTAGTCCAGAGTTTATTGGTTCTCATTGTACAAAAAATAGGAAATAATGCAATAGACTGTATAATTCATGCACCCGTCACCAGAACTACATGATATCCTCCACCAGTACTTCGGAACCGGATCCAATCATACAAATGTCAAGTTATATAAAAAAAGAGCTTCAAGTGTTGAACAAGGTAAAAGTTTCTTGATTCCTCTTAAGGTATTATTATTGATATTTTCATAGCATAAAAATTGGCAAAAAATAGGACATTTTTTGTTTTTGTGAAAAAAACAATAAAACTCAATGAAATATTGTGAAGTAGAACATCCCAATCAATCCTGAGTACTAAGTCTTTCATAAAAAAAATTGCCTTCTCCAACAAATCCAATTTAAACCTTTTGTACATCATAGAAATGCGTCACCAACACACCCTTATTGTGCATCATCAACAGTTCATGCTTCACCACCAAGTTATCCAGATTTTCAAGCATCACTCCAGGAAACTTCATCATTTCTTTCTACAACCTCCAATATGAGAAAAGTGCCCAAAAGTTTGAAGAAATAGCAAAAAAAAATTGAAAGATATTTAAATTTCACTTAGTATCTTTTTCTAATCTTGAGTAAAACTCGATCTTATCCTTTTTATCTAATGCAAATATTCAATAACTAAAAATGATCAAGAAACGTATCATTAAAAAACTACATCAAAAATAAAATTCTTATTTGTTTTGTGTTGAAATCATAAATTCTAATGTTTTTATTTAAATATCTATCAACTAAAAGCGGAAAGAGATGGAAGAAGAGAAACCACCATCATGCTTAGTATTGTCCTTCATGGGTCACCTGAACCCCTCCGGAGGTCATAGAGGCAGCAAGCGAGGTCTTCCGGCGCATCCCTCGTCCCTTCTCCAGGGACCCTCCTCGGGAAAGGGTGGACTGGGTGGACCCTGGTAGGGACCTGGGACCCCTAACCCTTGTTGAAGGGGAGGGTGGAGGGTGTCCCGCCGGAGCAAAATCTACTTTGGTAATATTTAGCGCATTTGCCGGGGTCATATATAGACCAGGATTAAACTCTACTCCGCGGCATTCATTCTCACGGAGTATCTGGGATAGGACCTCGGGACTAGAGGCTACAAGGTAGGAGGTTACACCCTCGGAGGCAGGGTTAGAGGAGGTCACCTCGTTTACCTGGGTTCCCTGAGGTTGGATTGATCTTGATCTAGCTCCATCCTCATCAGATTTTCCTGCAGAACAAAGAAAATTATGAAAAAAAGAACAAAAAACTTAAGAATTACATATTTCAATTGAATATTGCAAAACTTCCAATGGTTAGATTTTTGTTTTACCTGAACAAATGTGTTCGTACTGAGGGTCAAAACCTCTTATAAAAAAAGTTGCGTAGCTTTCAGACTTTACAAATTGTGGAGAAAAAGGCCATAGCACGAAACCGAACAACAAACAAACAGAGATTACTACTTTAAATATATATCTACTAGCTTGGGAACCAACAATGCTTGGAAACTAATCTTTGTTTATAAAAGTCAGTCCACTCAACTTAGAATTCCTAAACCAATTGCTAGAAACGTTTTATGGTCGGACACAGAAACAGACAGAAAAATAAAGATTATTTATTATATTGTTATTATATATTTACCCCATGAAGGTTTCCTGCCATGAATGATGTTCTCCTCCTCCTCCCTGATCTCCTGCAACATCACCTTCACCTGCTGGAAGGTCGGTCTCTTACTTGGCTCATACGCCCAGCACGCCGACATCAAGCTGTACAGACGGGGGGGACAGCAGGCGGGAAGCGCTAACCGTTCCCCGTTTTCTAGTTTACCGATTACTTCGCTGTTCTTAACGCCGTGGAACGGTTTCACGCCGAGCATTAAAATCTCCCAGGTACATACTCCTGCACAACATCAACATCAACATCAACATCAACATCAACATCAACATCACCAACATCAATATCAACATCAACATCAACATCAACATCAACATCAACATCAACATCAACATCAACATCAACATCAACATCAACATCAACATCAACATCAACATCAACATCAACAATATCATCAAAATTGATATAAAATCAACATGAATTAACATCAATAAATTATTTTAAAAAACACCTTTAAAAACATAAATAAAATTCTTACCAAACATCCAGACATCACTGGCAGTTGTAAATCTTCTAAAATTGATACTTTCTGGAGCCATCCATTTAATTGGTAACTTCCCTTTACTAGCCTAAGAATAGACAAATATTAAATCTGATTTTGTTGCATGGAAAATATTAGGAATAAGATATAATATAATATATATATATATAACTTACACATTTTTTTATGACTTTCTACCGAAAATAAATCATACAAGCACATATTCTGTATTTACATGTCAAAATAATCCACTAGAAGCTCAGTAAGAGATTTAGGTCAATTGCTTGTTAAAAAAAATAATAAAAACTTCAAAAAATATTTTGTACCTTGTAATAAGTATCCGACTCTATGAGCCTGGAAAGTCCGAAATCCGCGAGCTTAACACAATCCTGCGCGCTTACAAGCACGTTACGCGCAGCAATATCTCTGTGAACAAAGTTCTTGGACTCTAGGTATGAAAGGGCGGTGGAGAGTTGGTAGGAGAAGAGAATCAGGGTTGAGAGATTTAAACGAGTTGAGTTGGATTGAAGGTAGGCTCTGAAAAAGTACACCTCGTTAAACTAAGGTAAAATCCAGGTCAGATTGAAATCATTACTTCTCTTATTGAAGAGCTATTGAGAAGATTACAAATGTATTAAATATCAATTATGCTCCTACTTGTGCTTAAAATCAAAATTATTAGAGCTAGTTTTCAGTCATTTTTACGCTTTAAAGTTTGTTATCCTATTTCTCATCGATGCTTCTTTTTACTCAAAAAAGCTTTATTTAGTCCGATTTATTTTCTACCTTTAACATTTTCCATGCAACCAAAACCATAAATCATTTTCAAGTATGAAAGTTTTAGCTTAGAGAAAACGATAAAGGTATTCTGGTTTTATCATTTAGAAATTGTTTGTTTTCAAAAGTGAATCCTAAAAATAATGACTTGCGTTTGTATACAGCGGACAGCCTAGCAAAAATATAAGAAATTTAGAGAAAATGGCGATAAAAGGGCTACAGGGTACCATTGTGAATCTTACATGTTACTCATAAAATATTATGAAAATAGATTCCGACTAGTTTACCTAAGTTCTCCGTGTTTAGCTAGCTCCATGATAATATATATATAGGATTAGATGAACAGATCCCGACTTGTTTACCTGAGTTCTCCGTGTTTAGCCAGCTCCATGATAATATATAGAGCGTCCCATATCATATTATATTATCTCCAATCTTTAGCGCCAAAATACGCACATAATACTCTAAAAATCTAGCATTTACTTCAAAAAAAATTCTATTAGCCTTATTAAATTTTTCAAAATGATTAATTCTTCTTAAATTTTCTGATTTGTCCCCCAAATCGTAATTTAGACCCATTGACTTGGTCTAATTTGATGTGGGACACCCTGTATATAGGACTGGATGAACAGATCCCGACTAGTTTACCTAAGTTCTCCGTGTTTAGCTAGCTCCATGATAATATATATAGGAGTGGATGAACAGATCCCGACTAGTTTACCTGAGTTCGTCGTGTTTAGCTAGCTCCATGATAATAAATATAGGATTGGATGAACAGATCCCGACTAGTTTACCTGAGTTCTCCGTGTTTAGCTAGCTCCATGATAATATATATAGGATTGGATGAACAGATCCCGACTAGTTTAATGATATGCTGATGATCAAACTGTTGCATGATAAGCGCTTCTTCCAGAAACTTCTCCGCCATACTTGCATCAGTCTCAACCTTTTACAAAACAATAGTTTTAGCTTCATGTACAATAAACATATATTGTTCTGTACATAAGTTTCAAACTGTACAAAGAACAGAATAATAGGCATATTGAACATTGTTGACCTGTGCATACATTTCAAACTGTATTAGTTTGTATTTTGTACAATATGCATAGCAATAACACTTGATTTCTGCATATTGTATTCAATTGTGTAGTAACAATATAGTTATAACTTCATGTACAATATACATATATTATTCTGTACATAAGTTTCAAACTGTATATTGTTGACCTGTGCATACATTTCAAATTGTCTATGGTACAATGTGCGTAGCAATCATTTTTTAATCTTCACAACGTATTTTAGAAAAATATTCAAAATAAGCAGAAATTACAAACTTGTTTTTACAAAAAAAAGCAAGCATCAAAATCTTTAAATTAAAAACAAAGGAATTGAGTGTTTGCCACAATCTTTGCAGTTTGCAACCTGAAGCTGAAACCATTGATATTATATATATTACTATAGATTATTTGATCCAACAAAATTCATATTTTTAAATATAAGCTTTAGAACATTGGGTTCAAAGATCTAGAAGAATTAAAAAATTAAGAGTTTGAGGCAAAGACTCAATTTCTAATTTGTTTATTTCTTGTTTACCTTGCAAGTTTTGACGGCTATACTATGTTGCTCTGAAGAATTATTTGGTTTATAAACTCCTCTGTAAACATCCCCAAACTGCCCTTCTCCTAAAATCAAACAATTAAAGATTAAAAAATTAAATATATTTTTCTCATAAAGGTTGAGTAATTTTCATATTTTTTTCAATGTCTACTGTTTTTTGTATATTTTGATAGATGAATTACTTCAAAGGAATTGAGTTTTTGCCACAAACTTATAATCTTCTAATCCCTATATCTTAGCAACCCAATGTCGTAGACCTTAGACATTTCAAACTATGAATTCTGTTAGATCAAGTCATCTTTGTTTGAAATATTAAAAGTTTACACCATCAGGTTGCAATGATATAGAGATTATAAATTTTAAGTTTGTAGCAAAAACTCAATTTCTTTTATCTGGAACAAGCTTGAAGATCGAAACATGTGTTCCAATTTAAATTCATTCCAGGTTTCAGATTCATTGTTTTCGTTGATTAGAAATTACAAATTGCTAAAATATTATATATTTTCATTATCTACCTATCCCTGACTATGTTCAATGATAGTTTATCAATTTATCAATCTCAGTAATGATATTTCAGCACGAAACTATTACATTCAGAGTACACCCCCCCCTTTCATACCGTTACAATAAATACATGGGGGGGGGGGGGGGGAATGTTTAAAACTAACTCACCAATAATTTCACTGAGTTCTATTCTACTCCTCTCCAGTTCGTAGTCCTTGGCAGGAGATGAGTAGTCCCCTTCCTCGTCAACTATCTCAGCATAGTCCTCCGCTAGTCCAGGGACTAGTCCGGGGGTTCGTCCACTCCGAGATCTGCTACTCGTCCGGGGGGGTTGCCCATCTAAAAAAATGTCAAAATAAAACAAGTGAATATTTGCAGCAGGTGCTGAAAACGCAACAAAACTAAAAACAACCTAATTTACTCAGAATCTAATTCTTTAAATATTTGATTTTATGCATTTTCTTTAATACAAGCTTAGACAACTTAAAATTTTTGAAAAATTTATGAAAATTTATAAAATAAAGAAATACGATCGTTGATAGATTAAATAAAAAAGGTATTTTTATAAAAAATCTTGTACTAAAAAAAATCTCTCATTTGTCTTATGTAAAATGTATTTCTTTGACAGAGTTACAAATAAAAAAAACCCAATTCTTTCTATAAAAGATACTAGAAAACTAAATCACAAATATTCCAAATCAAATTAAAGTTAATAATAAAAAATACGAACATAAACATCATCAACAGCAAGAAAAATATTCTCATATCAAATCAATTTTGATTAAAAACAAATTATCTTATCAAAACTAATTTTTTTGTGTCTAATATTTAAAAATGCATTATCAGTTATTGTATCAATTTCTAAAACTGTTTTTCCCAAGAAAAAGTCTATTTTTTGGGGAAAAATATGAAAAGATTAGCATTGCAAAAGAAGGAAAAAACTGAAAAGAAAACATCTTAAAATTGATAAAGATTAAAAGATCTGTTACTGCTTGTAATCTGTATCTAAATATCTCTATAAGAATGGGGTTATTGCTTGAATGCCTAGTAAATGAGGCCTAAAACCAGACTAGCCTAGAGTATAAACTAACCCTAAATACCAGGGGTAAATATAGTTTCTAAAACAACTCTCTCAGATCCTATTAGAATTAGGGTGCAATAATAAAGAAGTTTTTTTTAAAAATCCCGCCAAAAAAATATAATATTTTTCCCGGCACGACAAGATCGCAATTTCAAAAAAAATGTTTGGGAGGATTATTTGTAAAACTATATACCCCTGGTGAATATACTGACCTTGAATTGCCCAATTTTTCTGTTGGAAAGCTTGCAAATAAACGGATTGTTAAAAACTTATATATTATAATTGCTCAGCTAACCTAACCTTCATTTGATTTTTAACGATATTTTAGTTTCTAAATACTTTCAATTAACTTGCTTAACTTTTTATCTACTTTTTAACTACGGGGTTAAAATTTTCTAAGCCTTATATCTTTACAACCTGCTGGCGTAAACCTTTAATATTTCAAACTTAGTTTATTTAATCCAGCTTAATTCATTTTTTTAAATATCAAAAGTCTGCGACATTGGGTTGCAAATTAGAAAATTAGAGTTTGTGGCAAAGACTTAATTCCTTTGAAACAGGACCTTCAGAAATCTGGAATTTCAAAAATGTTTGTTTTGATATTTTTTCAGATATGTAAACCCTTTTTTTGGTGGGATGCGGGGTGTAAGAACTTAGAAGGCCCCTAAAATTTAAGTATAAAGAAGTATTAAAGAATCCCCTCTACCAAATAATATATATTTATTTTTACCTTTCCTATTCCATATAGAGGTCTGTGATGAGTTAACCAGCCTACAGTAGCCATCTACTAGGTCAGCCATACTTTCAGCAACAGCTAGGCTAGGACAGGTCACCTAAATTTTTTTTAAAGTGGGTTTTCAAAAAAACTGGACCCGAAAACAGGCTATTAAGTTTATATATATATCTCAAGACACTCCTACCAATTCTAGCTAAACAAGTGATATATATATAAAGTAGTAATCTCTGTTTGGATGTCCGCCGTGTAGATCTTTAGAACTCTTTGACAGATTTGCATAATATTTTGATTGGGGAACTCAGTAGAATCAGTAGAATCCCCCGGAATGTTAAAATTCGTATTTTCTAGTTGGGTTCCCAAGCTAATATAATAGACGACATTAATTGAGTAATGAAGTGTATTTGATGTTGTTACAAAGCTTCACTATTGTAAGTTATAAAATTACATATTTAGTAAAATGGGTCTGTTCACACAGCACAACTGCTGTGCCTCATGTTCATTGAACTATTTGAAGTCATAACTTAAGTCTAAAAGTCGACTTCCTGTTCCAGAGTTTTCTGGTTATCACTGTAATATACCTGAAGAAGCTCCTGACTGCCTGCAACCCTGAGCTGAAGAAGAACCTTCCCTCCCTCTCCAACTACTGTTTGAACTGACTGTATGTGTGAGAAATCTGCCATATGTGTCGGCTGAAATATAAATACTTATCAAATCAAGTATTTAGTTTTAACAATTGTACAGCTTGTAAAACAAACAGGGAGATCATAAAAACATGATCTTAGTTTCATCACTAAAATCTGATGTTTTATGATTCTCCCTGTAAAAAGTAATTAACATAAAATCAGTCTGAACTGAAATATGTAAAAGTGAAAAATTAAATTTGTGTTCTGTTGGTCGAACAGGATTATAGAAATATTTTGATGAATTATATCTAGGAAATATTAACGCTGAAATCTAGGCGAAAAGTTCCGTATCATTTACAACAAGATATTTTACCGATCCNGGGGGGGGGGGGGGGAGCACTTTTATAGATTACAAGAAAAACATACAAATTATATACAAAAAAAAAGCTACATTTTTATTAGATTTTTTTAGTTGTTCATGGAGAAAGTAATTCAAAAGTTAAGGGATGGAAAATTTCAAAAACATTGAGAACTACAAAAATGAGAAAAGATTTGAGTCTTTGACACAAACTCAAATTATCTAATTTCTATATATTTGATATTTCAAACTTAAACTACAATTTGATCATACAATAATAAAGTGACTAGAAAGTCAGAGTCTGTGGCAAAAACTCAGTTCCTTTGTGCATATTTTGGCGTTAAAGCTTACAGGGGGTGTTGACAATATTTCAAGTGGCACTTCTTTCAAATAGTGCTTGGCATGGCATGTCAGATTCACAACGATGCGCCTTTATCTGAAAAACATTTTCTATCTAGAAAAGTTTTTAATTCTGACAGTTTTCCTCTTTGTTTCTAATTAATAAATCCACAAGTCACTATTATAGACTTCAATAAAAAATAAACTATCATCAGCTCAAAAAGGTCATTTAATTTCATCCTTGATTAGACAAATATTTGAGAATCGAACATGACACTTTATAAATAAAAAGGGCATTTGAAATGTTTTGCACCCAGTCCATTTTAAGAAAATATTTTGTTTTACATTTTCCAAATATATCCGTATTTAGTTTTAAATTGTTAAGTAAACTTTGAAAATTATACGTGTATTGGGTGAAAAACAGGGTGTCCCACATCAAATTAGATGTACAGGGTGTCCCACATCAAATTATATCGTTTTTAGCTCTAAATTGAGATTTAAGGAACTAATAAAAAAATTAAAAGAATGAATCATTTCTAATATAATAATTTTCTTGCAGAAATTACTTGTTTTTTGAGTATTATACGTGCGTATTTTGGCGTTAATGCTTGGGGATAATCCAATATGATATGGGACGCTCTGTAATATTAATCAACAAATATAATAGTAAAATCCATATATTTGTGTACATTGTACAGTGTACACATTGTGGAATTTTGTAAACTAAATTGTTTACAATTCTTCTGTTGATCTAGTAGATACGTGAAGTTAATGGCAAGAATAACATTAGAAACTATATTTATAGATATTCTAAATAAATACAAATAATATTTCAATATTATAGATTAATAGAGTTACCTATTTATAACAATATTATTTTTGTTCGCAGTGCTATAAAGTTTTTGGACAGATATTTCTCTTTATCGAGAAGGGTCATAATCCTTTTTAGATTATATTTTGTCCCAAACTTTTATCTGAAAAGGCGAGAACCTTCGAGATACAATTAGACAATTTAAAAAGCTTTTCTCACCCTCAGCTAAGCTTTTGGTGTGTAGTGCATGAATTTGCAGAAATAGTGGGGTTTAACGTGAGTGCTTTAAATCTAATTTAGATTTGATTTTAATTTTATTGAATAAAAATTTCAAGAAATATTCAAATTTGTTGGAGAAAATCCGGGAACCAATGAAACTTTATAACACAATGCTATGATATACAGATAATTTAACATTATAACACGATGATTACTTTATAACACGTCTATAATGAAATTTACCAAGAAGTGACCATGAATAATAAAGTATACAGAATAGTTTCATAAAAATACTTAAGTAAATAAAGTAATCAAAATAAAAGGTAAGCCTAAACTGCTTGAAAATTTGAAGAAAAAAGATTTTTTTTTGATTAAAGGGAATGTTCCTGATATTTGGATAATACGGGAGGTATATCTGTTCTGAACTGTACCTGTACTGCACTGTCTGTGACGTAACTGATTCCCTGGTGTGGACCAATAACAAGCTCGACAGGAATTGACCAACCAGACTAAAACAAAAATTATTAATGCCCAACCAGACTAAAATAAAAATTACAAATGATAATCATGATAAAATTGATATTTCAAACTGCGAATTATGTTAGGTCAAATTGTCTAAGTTTGAAATATCAAAGGTTAAAAAATGTTGTGGTGCGTTCTTAATACCTTAGTGTTTAACATAGAACACATGGATGAAGTGTTCAAATCAATTATATTCCTTTTTGTCTAGATATTTTTTGTTTGTGTAAAATATTTAATCTTAAATCTGGTAGAGCACTATTTCCATATTTGCACAAAAACAGAAAATTACTACCGCAAAATACTCAGTGTTAGTTAATGATATACAATAAAGTTTACGCTTATCTCGCTAATAAAAGTTACAGCAATTTTCGAAAACAAAATGCAAAAATAATTATTATAGCAAGACGGTTCACTGATGTAAAAACAACAATGAAAAAAACTTTGAAGAAAGTGACAATTTAAAAAGTATTTCATACAGAAAGCAAAAAGGAAGGCATTAACAAAAGATTTACTGGTGTGAAAGTAATCATAAAAAGTAATAATAAAATATATAAAAAGTTATCCTTTTTTGTGCATACAAGAATATAATCATTCAGAAAATATCTAAAACCAATAAACAATAATATAGACCAACAACTAGAACAAAAAAAAATAAACAAGTTTTAAAAACACTATTTTTGTTCTTGCTTTTTTACCGTTTATGAAAACAAATATCAACAGTATTAATGAAAAATGACGTCATAGTTTTCCTTGTTAAAAAAATCTTTAATTTTTTCAATATATAAACAAATTTATTTTAAAGATAACCCTTGTAGACAATAAAAGAATCAAAATCAAATTTTAAAAAGTATATCTAGAACTGAGTCTTTGCCACAAACTCTGATTTCTAATCCCTATATCTTCGCAACACAATGTCGTAGACCTTAGATATTTTAAACTATGCAATATGATCGATCAAACAAACTAAATTTTATATTAACGCTTTACACCATAAGATTGTAAAGATATATGGATTAAAACATATTAAGTTTAAGGCAAAGACTCCATTTCTTCATGAATTAAAAAATCTTACCCCTAAAGCACATCTGTATCTTTCTTGATCGAACCTGTACACAGATTTGAGAATTTCAAAAAATTTAAAAATACAATCCAGCTCCTCCATAACGGCAAACTTTTTAAAATGTGTCTGGATAAGTTTTCGTAGATTTTTGGATTTGTTATTGTTGATCACGTTCTTCGGGAGGAACTTGTGGAGGCCGACCTCGCGTTCTAGGTATTCAAAGTTGGACTTCTTATCCAGAGCTATGTGCGGCATATCCCGGAAGAATCGTCTGATTTCGATACAGCAGAGTTGGATTGCGAGATCTAGGTCCAGGGATTCAAAGTTCTTGCTGAGGTAGTCGTTCCGAACCTACAAAATACAAATCAAACTAAAGTAAACTTCACACTCTTCTGCCGCTTTAGTAATTGTAAATTGGCGCTATAGTCCAAAGAAGGACTGCAAAGGTTGACCCCGCTCGGATATTTAAATGTACACGGTTGGGGCGTTATTTCACGTAATTTATTATTAGTTATCAACCTTTACTCCTTTTATTGAAAAGTTAAGAACAAAAAAGTTTTGAATTTCCAATATGTAACCCGATCATTTCTAGATGGGCTACGAGGTCACTAAGTTTTAACAGTAATGTCTGATAAATTTAACCTCCTCGATCAATGTCTTGTTTGCTGTGAAATATAGAAAGTCCTAATTGATATACTGGTCACAATACTTTTTTCATAATCCTACAATGTTCCTGACCTTTATAGTACAAATACAATGATCAGTGATCACTTATTATCTAAATTAACTTCTTATTTTTTACAGCTGCAATAAAATAAGGCAATTCAAAAAATAGTCATTTACTTATATCAAAAATCTCTCTCCCGATGAAAAATAGTATAGACCATTATTCTCATGTTTCAACCCTCCCTCCTCAAAAACACTCACTCATATTTCATACCTTCAACCCCATAATACCCCCCCCCCTCCCCCCCACCCCTTCCCCTCCCTCCCCCGTGTTTCGTGTCTGATTACTATGTATGAGTAGGTATACCTGCTGCCCACACAAGATTGCCAAACCAAAAAATTAATTTTCTGTTCTGAAAGTGCTCGCAGCGTAATAATACACTTTTTGCTCCTTAATCTCGGTTAAAACTTATCAGGGACGCGGGGGGGGGGGGTGTCAGAGGAAAGGTATGGAGGAGGGAGGGGTGTAATAGATACAGAGTGTCCCAATAATTTTGACAATTTTTTAAACATCTTCTGTCAGTTTTTGAAGTTTTTACTATTTGTAAAAAGATTTGAGCAACTGTAACATAAAGGTTTTGCAATAAAACAAAAATACGAAAAATGTATCGCACCAGAGCTGAATTATGCATGTAAGTAAGAATATGGCGGTCAATTAAGTAATAAAACATAAAGTTTATATGTAAATAAAAATAAACATTTCATAAAAAAATAAAACCTACATGATATTTTTGTCTATAACTATGACCTATAAAATTGTCAGAATTAATGGGACACCCTGTAAGGAGGGGGTTGGGGTTGGGATAATATATTGAATGAATGAATGAATGGGTGTGTTATGTATACTAAACCCAACAAAAACTTTATTGATTTTAGGTTCATTATTAAAGATCAATAATGGCCGTATGTATTGTGCTATTTTAAAAAACGCCCCAAGAATAAGACACAGAAAACGATACATTAAGTTCCAGAATATCAATTGTTATAAAAATTCACGTTTGTCTAATTACATTCCAATTTTTTTGTGATTTTTTTTTGCAATATAACTTTTTGTCAAACCATTTTTTACATTTGGTTTGTGCCAATTTTAGGACATTCTGTGTTGATATGTTTAATAGCAGTTCTTTCTTATGATCTGCAGTAGTTGCGGCATCAGTGTGTGAATTGATGAACATACTGTAACTAGGCTAAATTAAAGATTTCGCGGGTTTTATATGAGACATTTAACACCCCAACCCCCCCCCCCCCCCGGGGAACTAATGATGAAAATCTCCAGATTAAATCAGATTGATTCCGCGTAATATTAGATTAATAAATTCAGATAAATATACGATCAAGTTCAGTCTTACTCTTAACATCAAAATCTACGCAATACGCAGTTCCGGGTTAAAAGTATATACACAAGGAATTGAGTCTTTGCCACAAACCCTGATTTATAATCCTAATATCTTTGGTACTTAATGTCGTGGACCTTAGCTATTTTAATTAGATCAAATAACTAAAGTTTGAAATACTAAAGCATTACAACATTCGGTTGCAGAGATATAGGAATTAGAATATTTGAGTTTGTATAAAAGATTCAATTCCTTTGTCAAAGTTAAGTTTTTCCCTCCAATTGCATGGTTTAAATATGTATATCCTAGACCCGATCGGTTTAGCCGTTTTGGCGTTTATTGGATACGCACAAACAGACAAGCAAATTATACGTAAAAACATCCTTCATTTCCATCACAAATGCCTCATGCAATTTTCATTTAATTGTAATTTTCATCCCATAACCTCATAAGTAAAAACTGATGAACTATTTTACTCTACTGGGATTCGCACAATTAAAATGAATTAAATCAAATGTTGACTTCATGGCGGATTCAAAATACATTAATTTTTAGTGTTATCTTATCTTCTTGACTAAACTTTTTTTTATTGTGTAAATGATTCATGAAAATGCGTAACCTTTAAATAAATGAGATAAGAATACCAACAAAATAATATTTAGATCATCTTTGTATGGAGGGTCATTTTAAATCACGTTTATAGTCCCTTTCAGTAATTATTTAAGAATAAGTTTTGTGAGAGCAGAGTAGTATGCAGTATTATTTGATTGATTGATAGAAGCTAGACAACTCTGATAAAGAATTCATGGAATAAAGATATATACAGAGAAAGATACAGAATATTTTTACCTTCTCTCGCAAAACTTTTATAACTTTCCTGAATATTTTGATAAATATCTTATCTTGATTCTAAATATTAGTTTCCGCGACGACTAAAATCTGTCAGATTAAAAATATCAAGTTTTGCTAAATTAAATTTTGTTAAAAGTAAATTTTACTTAAATTTAATAAGCGCCTTTTTTCAAAGGAATTGAGTTTTTGCCACAAACACAAATTTTCTAATCCCTATATCTTTGCAGCAACCCGATTTCGTAGACCTTAGATATTTCAAACTATGAAGTTTGATAAATCCAATAATCTAAGTTGGTATATCAAAACTTTACACCATCTGGTTGCAAAGATATAGGGATAAGACATTTTGGGTTTGTGGCAAAGACTCAATTCCTATCTAATTTTTTTTAAATATGTGCTCCTATACTATATTCATCCATCCTGCTGCGTATGGATATCTTTACAAAATGTGTTCCCACTTAACATCGATTTTGATGGTTCGTTAGAACTGACAAGGGTCAACCTAGACCGAAATTTATTTTCAATAAAATGTGGAACTAACTTCTACTTTTTTTTCTCTACAGAGGTTTGGTCCATCACCATCACCGAATTTTAAATTCTGCATTCCTTGGTTTTTAATATTTGTTAGTCTTTAAATGTAATATAACCCTGTAACGTACTTTGTTAGTTTGTACATACTATGATGTATATCTTTACAATGCATGTGAATTTATACACTATAGTTTCAGTAGAAGTAAATATTTCCATTTACTGATAGGTTTCATTGAAGGATTTGTAAATCTAATTGGATAATGAGATAGATAGAAATATAGATGTTACCGCCATACTATTTCTATTGGTTCAGAATAGACAACAAACACATGACTGAACCCTGAGTGGATCAGGCGCTAATGGACTCGGCATACAATAAATCTACTGTATTTCTTTATTGTTAAAATATTAATTACACGCACCTCTGCCCCTTTAGTAAAAGTAAATTCAACATATATGAAGCATTAAGTCTGACCGCGTCAACTTTAATGATTGTCTTCTTAGACTCATAGATAATTGATTCTTATCTTTCCAACCTGGTGGTGTAAACCTTTGATATTTCAAATTATGAATTCTGCAAGATCAAATAGTTAAACTTTAGAATATAAAAGGTTTACAGCATCAGTTTGCAAAGATATAGATAAACAATTTAGAGTTTGAGGCGAAAATGTTCAATTACATTGATTGATTGATTGATTGATTAAATATTACCTGATCATAATAATTGTAGAATGTAATTTTATCCTTGGTATAGAGCAGTGCAAGATCAGAGGGAATATATCGGACACGGAGTTCATATCTCCACTCATTCCCACTCCCACTATACTTCTCCTGAACCTAGAGATAGATAGATAGATAGATAGATAGATAGATAGATAGATCGATAGATAAATAGATAGATAGGTAGGTAGATAGGTAGAAAGATATATAGATAGATAGATAGATAGATAGATAGATAGATATATAGATATATAGATAGATGGATAGATAGATAGATAGATAGATAGATAGATAGATAAACAGATAGATAGATAAATAAAGAAATAGATAGATAGATAGGTAGATAGATAGATAAACAGATAGATAGCCAGATAGATAGATAGATAAATAAAGAGATAGATAGATAGATAGATAAATAAAGAGATAGATAGATAGATAGATAAATAAAGAGATAGACAGATAGATAGATAGATAGATAAAGAGATAGATAGATAGATAGATAGATATAGGTTCATTTAGAAATCTTTAAATCTTTAAATTAATAAGATTTGGAAATTTCAAACAAATGGGCGAGGCCTGGCAACTCTTCAAAGTTGGTCCAGTTTCATTCTATTCTTGGTTAATCAAGTTTAAAGATTGGTTTGATAACGCTTTGTTTCAACTTTATTAAAACTGCAAACACTGAAAAGTGTGTTGAAGATACCCCAGAAGTAAAGTTGTTCCGGGTTCAAATTTAATCACTCATTAATCAATCCTAACAGTGGATTCAAGTTTCAAGAAAATAGAAAATGAAATTCTCTCAAAACAAATATTTTCTTGGCAAACAATTTTTCATATCCTAACAGTTTTTAGGAAAACTCCGCCCCCCCTCCCCCGTTCATTAAGAAGTAAAATTGTACTTTATTTGTACATTGTTTCAACTTCAAACTTGAATAGCCAAGAATTTGTTAGTATCACTGAAAGATAAGGAAAAAATGCATATTCATGATTTTTCCCACAGTGCAGAGTGGGCAGACTAAAATCTGCTAGAAATAATATTAAAAACTTGTAAGATTAATATCTCACGATTAATCAATATAATTTTACACATCAGCAAAAATTCAAAAATTAGTTATGATAAAAAAAATATATTTCTGATTTACATATTTTTATAAAAATTATAGGAGTCGAAAGTTTTATACTGTTAATCTTTTAGAAAGCACTAATCTGCATCTTTTCTGGTCTGATTGATTAAAGTAAATAATCTGTTTTCTGGTCTGATTGATTAAAGTAAATAATCTGTTTTCTGGTCCGATTGATTAAAGTAAATAATCTGTTTTCTGGTCCGATTGATTAAAGTAAATAATCTGTTTTCTGGTCCGATTGATATAAGTAAATAATCTGTTTTCTGGTCCGATTGATTAAAGTAAATAATCTGTTTTCTGGTCCGATTGATTAAAGTAAATAATCTGTTTGTCACGGATTAAGTAACATAAACACTTCAATTTAAATTTTCCACCCTGCATATCATTTTAAGGCTAAGTAGATGAGCTCGTTCAATAGTTTTGACCTTTGAATGTAATCATCAGCAGAATCAAAAATTTGATTATTCATAAAAATCTATTTTAAACTTATTTTCTTAAAAAAAAAAACACTTTACCTGGTACATTGTGGTGTCCTGGTGTAAATAAACTGTGTCTCCTATAAAAAATAAATTAAAACAAGAACAAATACTATCAATTCTAGAATTAAACTAAGTTTAAAAAAAATCAATATCAATTCAAAGATTAAACTTCATTTCTTTTATGTACTTTTTCTTAATTAATTACTATTAAGTCTAGCATAAAATGAAGTCTTTACCACAAACTTTGATTTTCTAATCCCTTTTGAAACCAAATGTTGTAGACCTAAGATATTTCAAACTATGAATTCTTTTAGATTAAAAAATCTAAGTTTGAAATATCAAATGTTTACACGCACAATCAGGTTGCAAAGATATTGGGATTATGAAATACCTGTTATATTGTTAAGCATCCGTATAGAGTAAAGATGAGAATATTCTATCTGTCCTCCACCCAGTCTACTCGTCAACAAAACTATTATTCCCTAAAATAAATAATTGAAATTTTTTTTCTCAAACATATGAAGAAAAAATATTACTTCCAATAAAAGGAAGTTTGCTAATTGTGTGACCAGGTGTTCCGACTTAATCTTTAAAACGGAAAAATTCCTTTTAACATGATTTAATCCTTGAACTACTTAGAGAACCAGAAAACTGTGGAATAGGAAGACGACATTAAATCAATAATTAAGTGTATTTAATGTTTTTACAAAGCAATGTAACTTATTAAATCAATTATGAAGTGAAATGCGTCTATTTACATTGCACAATTGCTTTGTCTCATGTTTATTGGCAAACACAAGTCATAACTTGAGTCTAAAAGTCGTCTTCCTGTTCTACAATTTGATGGTTCTCACACAGTTTATAGGTTTGATAAATATAAAGCAATAATAAAACTATCCTTCTCTAATTAATTACTTATCTAATTAACTAATTAATTACACATTTAGCTGATTAGGTTTATTAGCTTGCATGCAATACAAGCAATATAATAATATGCACAGAGAATCATGTGCAACATTTTAACAGCTCATTATGTAGGATTAAAGATAGATAGATAAATAGATACAAAATTATAAGCAGTGCTTAGAATTTATTTCATTTTAATGCGGATCCAAATCCTGGTTCCGCCCAATTTTTTTATGTTTTGAAATTTAAAAATAAGCCACTTGGATCTTGATCCGTGGATCTGCAAATTGAGTTTTTTTTTTAGCAAACTCTAATTTTCTAACACATATTTCTTTTCAACAAAAGGTCTTCGACCTTCGACATTTCAAACTATTAATTTTGTGAGAACAAAAATTCTAAGTTTAAAATGTAAAAGGTTTAAGCCAATCATCAAGTTGCAAGGATATTGGGATTATAATTTTTTTTTTGTGACAATAACTCAATTCCTTTTTTCCGGATCCTGATCCAAGGAGCTAAAATGTATCTTTAGATCAGACAGGGAGGTAGAAAAAATGTACATTTATTTTAGCGAACTAGAGTGGGTTTGGGCGTCTTTCCGCGAGTCTTATTTTAAAAATTTTAAGCAAAATATATAAAAATCAAATGCTATGCCCCTTTTTCGATATAGAAAAATGAAATTTCCAAAGAAACACACCTGTGGACTGTGGAGTAAGTAAAGGATCTATTGTAGCCTTGTATAAATTTACCACATGTTTATATTATTATGTAACAATATACACTCATGTTGTATAGATAAACAACACAACAACACAAAGAATAAAACTTGGAATACTAAGACCTGAGGGTGTGATGATGGAATAAGATGACATGATCTTATAAATAAAAAATTAGAAAGAAACAGAGTTTTGGCCACAACTCTGGGTTTAAATCCCTTTATCTTTACAAACTATGATTTTTTCTGCCACATCAAATGTTCTCAGTTTGAAATACTGAAAGTCCACATCATGAGGTTGCAATGTTAAACGGATTAGCAACATTAAGTAAAATAATTACCGAATAAAAAATCTCAATTTTTGAAGGAAACTCTCGACTTTAATTAGCGAATGATAAAGCGCCGCCAAAGAATGCTAATAAGAGGAAAAAATGAAGCCCCCATAAATATGGAAATTAGATTAAGATAAGACTTGAGTAAACTCTTCACAAAAATGACAGGCAACATTTAGGAAACCACAAAAGGACCTCATAAAACGTCAGTTATTGCCCATAATGTTTTGGGGTACACCCTTTATCCTATTTATATATATATATATATATATATATAAATTTATTGCATATTCAAGGATCCTTTTACCTGCGCGTATCTATACGTGTATTTATCTGCCTAATGACGCGATTAATGATATATACAAGACACTGAATACATTGTTATGATAATTTGAGTCAACAAAACAGATGCAATTTATCTTAGATTCAAAGTTTGACAATGTATCAAGTGTCAAAGCGGGTTCATGTATATGAATGTAGTCGTACCGTCCGGTCTGGATAAACTATTGTAAAGTTAACCCAACACGTTTTATGCAACTAATGTAGGGATTCCTATATATCCTACCTTAATATCTGTGGCATCTCCAAACTTGACAACATTGAAGCATCCAGAGGGAAGAAACACCTTAAGTGTAGATTTGTCTCTATCTGTGGGAAGATGTTGCGGTCTGTGCGCTGGAACACGCTCCGCGGCATTATTTAACTCTGCGCGCAACCCACGTGGTGTAGGTGGCGCTGACCATTCAGCTCGTGGAGGAACAGGTGACCATTCTACTCTAGAGGGAGGTGGAGAAGACCACTCTCCCCTGGTAGGAGGGGGGCCTTGAGACGCTGTAGACCCGCCTCCTTGTGATGCCATCCTGAGGGCGGGACGGAAACTTGAGAGGGATGGACTGTCTGTTAAGAAGCTGTCAGACGCATCCTCAGACCTGAAATAGGATAAACAAAATTAGACTTGTTCTGGACAACACAAGGTTAAACATTCAACTGAACTTCGATGCATTTTGTAAAAAAAAAATTATTTAAAACATAAATATTTTGCTGAAAATGTGAAAGTAAAGCTGATAATATTTGTAAACACACTACTCCTGCTTTATATCTACACGTTTCCGACAGGAAGGAGGGGTAACGGAAGCATGCATAAATGTGTCAGAAGGAATGTCTTTGTAAAATAAATTGGCATGTTTATAAATCCGATGCACACACATCAATATTATATAAATGTTTAATTTATTTACAACGGGTTTACGAAGTTCAAAACAGAACTGCTAATCCGACGTTAAACTTTGACCCTTGACAGAAATGCATCTAAAAACAAGATTAAAAATTAATTTTGCACAATTGGCTTGGAGTCCTTAGAGCGCAGTATATAGGTGCTAAAACCTCATTTTACACACAGATAAAATAAACTCCAATTCTAGGCTTAAGTATTTTTTCTTTTAGCAAAAAAGATAGAAGTAAAAAAAAATTTCCATTAAACATTTAAAAAGGAAATTTTTAAATTAATAAAAAGGGCTAAATTAATACAAATTTGAATAACCACAGACTATAATGTAGTAAAAAAAATAAATAAAAACTGCAAGTTAATCTCAAGGAACAAGAGTTAAACCCTTATGAAAATACTATAAAAGTCCTCCAATGCAAAAAGTAATTTTAATGCGTACGGATAATTGAACTACTTATCCAGTGTTACCGTGATGAACTAGAGAACTAGTTGAACAAGTTGAACTCAATTCAACTATTTTTAAACTATTTATAAAATCAAAGCTCTGTAAGGTTGTGTGAGACCCTGGTTTGTTCCCAGTGTTTAGTCAACTGAATGCTGAAAACTCGAGGCACACGTCACACAGGTGTTTATTGTAGTATAATAAAGTAAAAGTGTTTTTTTGGGGGGTGGGGGCGGGAGGTTTGTACATTTAAAAGAAAAGAAGAAATCTAAAAAATGATGTAATGTGAATTTTAGAAGGACATTTTAGCATTAAAACAATGATTTTTAACAAGTTATATATAGACTAGGTAGACGGGGGGNCAGAAGTAATTATCAATATGTTTGTTCGGCTGAAAATTGAGGGAAGTAACTTGATACTAAATATATTCAAAGTATAACAATATACTTGTATTCTTGTATAGTAGAAACTTCCCACTACCCAACAATGAACAATATTTTTTTCTTCAAAATTTAAACTTTTCATTTTGAGAAAAAAATGCTAACCATAAATCTTTGTAACCTTATGGTGTATAGTTTAGATCTTGCAAAATGCTAGGCAGCTAGGGTTGAAATCAGTATCAATGGTCTATGACATCACGTTTTCAATGGGGTACAGATAACTAGAGTTTGAGTGAAGTAATTAGTTCCTTTCTTCTGAACTAAATCTTTGTTAAGAACTAACAGGGATAATGCTTGATATATGAGGGAACCCTGATATTTTCTAATTCTTATTGTAACGAATCATTCAAGAAATCCATATTTTTAAATATATACTATATATATTCAATTTTTTAAAATTTCTGTTTAATCTTTTTCTTCATATCTCATCTCGTTTCTTAAATTTTGATGCGGATCCGGATCCGGATCCTGGATCAGCACTGGAAAAAAATAGATCCAGATCATTTCTTTATGATTTACAAAAAATAATTTCCAAAATTTTTGTTTTCTTTTTTTCGCATGTTTTTATCCTAAAACTTGATGAACCATTCAGAAATGGGGAAATTTTTATAATCTCTCTTTTTTTCAAAAGTTCAGATTTGGGTTTAAGGAGTAAAAGTTTTTTTTGCCGTTTTTGGTTGATATTTTACCCCTTAGATCCGGATCCGTGGATCCGCATATTTTTGCGGATCCGGATCCGGATCCAGGAAGCCAAAATCTTACGGATCGAACGGATCCGGATCCTAAGCACAGCTTGAAAGTAAAGTTTAAATTACATTAAGGGTTGAATAAATCTAGTCTTTCATCTTAGAATTGTATCTAAACTAACTCATGGTCCCTTGAGCTTTAGATAATTAACAGAGAATCAATCTTAATTATATTTCATTTGATTTACAAAATATTAATCCAAATTTGATAACATATTTTAAAACTATCTTTCTATTTGTAGCGGTTTTCTGTTCTGTTTTATACAACCTGTCTGAAACCCAAATTTTCTTATCCATATATCTTTGCAACCTGATTGTGTAAATCTTTTATATTTTAAACTTTGATTACTTACTCTAGAAGATTTCATAGTTTGAAATATCCGGACGTTGCAAAGATGTAAAGATAAAACATGAGACTTAAGAAAAGATTGTTATCAATGAAGTTCTTAATATATCATTTCTCTTTCTTCGAAGGAGTATATCGTAAACGTATTGATGTCAAATGAACTTTTCTTTTCTTTAATAAGAATGTTAAGCAGCGAGCTTCATATACTGTATGTAAACATATGCTGAACTTCCTTTATATATAAACAAATCATCCCGGAAGGAAGCTAAACAAATCAGAAATACTTATGAGGAAGTACGGGTTTGGCCGGTGGAAATACAGTATTGATATACCTTGTCTCTTTCTTTGACGGAGTTTCTGAGTACGTGTCGCAGAGCAGAGCTCCATAAAGAGATCTAGGTCGTAACCTTGACCCACTGGCAGATCTGGTTCGACGCTGACCCTTCGGCTGTCCAGGGCTAGGCGACCCCTGACCGGACACAATCAAACTTTAAACCAAAGTCGGAGAATATCAAATAATGAAAAGTGATCATACAAATGTACCCCTAAAATAAAATAAAATAACAGAAAAAAATGTAAAAAAGATTTACGCTGAGCATATTTTAAGGATTTAATTAATGATTTTATGTTTTTTTTTTCTTTCGAATCCCCAATGTTCTAGTCTTTATATACTTTCAATCAGGTTGCAAAGATATAAACACTATAAAATAAAAGTTTGAGCCGAGTAATCGGTTCCTGTATGTGATACCGTAAAATCTCTTTATTATACTTAATGAATAAGAGAACTGTTGAAGAGACTGTAAGTGCAATTTCAAGTTACCCTTCAGGCGAAGATGACAATGGTACCCTTGACACCTTTATCTGATCAATAATGTGGAAGATAATGTAGTTTTTCTAGGTTTTCTGCACAGTAGAAATGCTAAAATCACTTAAGTCATAAAATCTAAATCATACTAGATTATCCAATCAGACAGAGCTTTAAATTAACCATTGTGAATCAGGTGGGTATTGTCATTTTGCATGGAGGGTAACTGAAGAATTACGCATAAAGCATACCCCCTTGGGAACAGAAATATAGAACTAACACTTCTAGTTTATTCAAGCGGAGAGAAGGCCTTGAAAATATGTTTATTTTTGGATCCGGATGTCAAGACTGACCTACATGTATAACATACGGACAAAAAGAAAACACGAAAGAGTTGAAAAGGTCCCAGAAGAGTTCCCAAAATAACATGAAATAGAGACACAAAATTCTAATTTCTGGAATTTCAAGAATGTTTGCAACACGTCCCAAGGGGAGAAAATACAAACTATTTACTTAAAATGTCAAATTTTCAATTTGAAAATGAAAGACAGGATGAAATATTGAAAGGTTTCCTTGGAAAAACTATCACTAAGTTTCCAAGGCGGACTCTCTTCTACCGACTGGCCGGCTGGTTGGGGCGCGGAGCAGAATAATTTCCCAAAATATTGGGATGCACGATTATCTAATTAATTTTGGCAATTTTGATATTTTTCCCCCCAAAGAAATTTCTTTAAGATTTAGTGTTAGTATTATTTTGTTGTTGTTGCAATTGCCATTTGCCTATAATGAGGGAGCGACGGCTTGCTCTCCATCGATCCATTTTATGCCGGATATTAGGGTTACAGGGTTACATTGTCACTTTTTATCTGAAACATATTCACTCTACATTGGTTTGAGTTTCTATTGCTTATGTGCTGTGTAAAATTGTATTTAGTGCATTTTATGTAATATGTTACAAGATATCTTTATTACACATTTTGTATAATATGTTACAAGATATCTTTATTACACATTTTTTGTAATATGTTACAAGATATCTTTATTACGCATTTTGTGTAATATGTTACAAGATATCTTCTTAAACGCGTTTAAAAATTCTTTTACAGGGTATAGTCAGCCATTGATTTTCTGTTTCAGAAAATAAAGTTTCTTTTAGAAAGGTAAAACATATATTTTCCTATAAATTATATATTAAGACATGAGAAGTCCATTAGTCTAAAATAGGGTTATAAATATATGAAATATACATTAGAATAGAGACCCCATTTTCATTTTCTTATTTAATTTTGTTACGATAATAAAGTAGATTTAATTTCATCATGGTTGCTGCTTTTGAACATCTCTATATAGATTTAAAATTTCTTGTATTAATCTATCAAAAAATAAACAAATACAATAATTAGTCATTAAATACGTTTAATCAATAATTTTATCCAATTACAGTTGAATTAATTGAATTCACAACATCGAAATAGATTTATTAAATTTTATTTTAATTCTGATCAAAAATAAAAAGGAAAAGTTGTTACAACTAATAATCAATACAGAAACTAAGTTCTTGATTTTTTAATCCTTATATCTTTGCAACCCCAAGTGGTAGACTTTTGCTATTTCGAACTTTGATTTCTGTTAGATCAAATAATTTAAGTTTAAAATATCAAAAAGTTTACGCTTTCAGGTTGCAAAAAATAAGAGTTTGTAGCAAGAACTCACTTCTTTTAAAATGTTTATTTTGGTGTACTTTGTTATGATTAAAACCCCTCTCCAAACACCCCCCCCCCTCTCCTTGACGCCCTTGTATGCCTGTTAGTGTGGGTGAGTAAGCACCATAGTAAACCCTAGTTTGGGCAAACCAATTTTAATATCATCGTACAACCTTAATTGTCAACAATAATATTACATCATATCTCTACCCTACAGCCCTA